AAAATCTTTATTCGCCACGTGTCCAAGTTTTATTGGCTACAATCTCCTCCACGCTGACGACGCGCGCTGCACATTTTTCTCATCAGCTTCGCCTGCCATAAAATTTGAAGATAAGTCGGAATTAAATAAAGGAAATTTCCAAAGAAAATCTCTCCCTCTATCTTATACTCTCCCGGGGACGTCGGTTGTCATGGCTCTGATGAGAAAAATGTGCAGCGCGCGTCGTCAGCGTGGAGGAGATTGTAGCCAATAAAACTTGGACACGTGGCGAATAAAGATTTCACCACGTCGATATAAACACGATGGTTCCTACGACGTCGTATCGCTTAAAGGTGCTGGACAAAGTTGTAGCTAAAAGCATAAATGGGCCGGCAAGTTTTAGCCCATTTAGGGGGCGAGGAGCGGTTGCGATTTTCGGTGGTTGCGGGCGATTGAAAAACTGACTGGTTGAACCGCAACCAACCGCAACCGCAACCAAACTTGTATTTTCTAATCGCAATTTCCAACTTGCGTTTTGTTAGCGGTTTCCGACGTTTTGAAAAAAAAAACTAAAATATTTTTATTAGAAATTATATAAAACATTAATATATATATTGGTGATGATTTTGTTTAGTGTTATGATTTGATATTATTTTTTAGTATTATATTTTAATAAAAAAATATAATAGTATAATTTTTAAGTTTAATAATGATTATTTTTAATAATTTTTATAATAAAATTATTTTTTTACTTAAAAATAAATTAAATTGATAATATTTATATTTTAAATTTATTATTTAATTATTATAAATTTAGTAAATAATTTTTATCAAATGATACGAAAAATTTAATTAAAACTATTATAAAAAATTATTTTTAAATAATATATATTTTTTTAACAATTTATATCAAAACGCAACCGCAACCGTAATGAACCATTCACTTCTAACTGTAACCACCCGCAATCGCTACCAACAGCAACTTCTCAACCAGTCAGTACTAATCATTTATAATCGCTATCAAACGTTCTGGTTCTGAAAACGCTGTCACCCGCAACCGCAACCGCTGCGGTACAACCAGTCGAACCCTTAGTATCGTTCATTCTTGGAGTTTTCATTTTGGCCCACTTTTATCGAAAGATTCGATTGCAACTCTATGAAATTTTAATTTTTATGCGCACCCTTCAAGCGTATTGGAAACTCGTAATATATTCCTGACCATTCAATTGTTCAATATTCGTTGGCTGATTTGTCTATATATAACGTGTTTTGGTAAAATAAAAAACTAGTGTATACATATGCTTACAATATGTGTGTGTGTGTGTGAGAGATAAGAGTGATGTTTCTCCAAAGATGAATTGATAATGTACAAGTATACACAATTCAAGCATTAAATGCACATATGAATCTCCACGCTAAGCATCTAGTAAAATTAGCAGCTATCTATCCATAGCTCGTCAGGCTTTGGACCGACCATTATTCCCATCAAAATTCACGGATTTAATCACTTGTAACACCTAAAACTCCACGTTTTATGACTGACTTTCCAAAAAAAAAAGGTACAAAACAATCACAACTTGCACTTAAATCCAACCATCACTCTCCCCAACAAGACAGTAGTTTCGAGAGGTCGAATACTATCTCTATTGCGATGGCTACAACATATCTTATCCTTTGAGGTGTTGAATGTTACTTTGGTCATATTACCCAGAGAGGGGCAAAATGAAAAATATGGAATGTCTAAGAAAAAAAAGAGCTCTTTACCGAACAGATGAGGAGATGTGATCTTCCACACTCTCTCCCCTTCCCTTGCCTCTTTGATTCTGTTAAAAGAGAAACAAAGAGACAGACCCTCACAAGCATACCAAAGCAAGAACCTTTTGCACGTACCTCGAAAACCCGGAAACAGATCTTAGCCTTCTCCGAGGTTCTGGGAGTCAGGTTGCGTTTCCGCATGCTCGGGTCGAGGCCCGCTTAGTTTCTGCTGTTCATTGAAACGGCTGATGCGGTCGAGCAGCTGTCCGGCTTTGCGTTTTCCTCTGTCAGTGCTGCTCTCCGCCATTTCGATCAGAGGGCCCATGATTCCCAACTTCTGAACTTCCACTAGATGGCTCTGATCCCATGAACAGAGGTGTACCAACACAGCAGCTGCGTTTTCTTTGTTCCGGGCCAGACCGTTCCTGATGAATTCCACGAGAACTGGCACCGCGTTGGCAGATCCTATCGCCACTTTCCCTTCAGGATGGCTGGACAGTATCGCCAGTATGGCAAGTGCTTCGTCAACCATTCCACCATCTGGTTCTGTTAACAGCCGCATCAGCTCGGGAACTAACCCTGCTCTCACGGCTTTCCCTTTGTTCCCCTGAAATATGCACAGATTGAACAATGCAGTGGCCGCATCCTTCTTGCCTCTCTGTGTTCCTTCACTGAGCAGTGTCACGAGCGGTGGAATCGCTCCCAGGGAACCTATCGTCACTTTGTTCTCATCCATGACCGAGAGGCTGAAGAGAGTTGCTGCTGCGTTTTCCCTCGCTTCCATGCTTCCCCTCCTGAGGACCTGAACAATACCCGGCACTGCTCCACTCGTAACGATCCTTCCTTTGTTCGCTTCGCATATCGAGAGATTGAGAAGTGCCGTGACAGCATGTTCCTGGGTTCGGGAGTCGGGTGTTGAGAGGAGCTTCACTAGTAGAGGGATTGCACCTGCTGCAGCAATGGCAATTCGGTTATCAGTGCTCCGTTTTGCAAGAAGGCGGATTTCTCCTGCAGCAGACCGTTGCTCTTCTGGGTTTTGAGAACCGAGCTTATGTAGGATTTCTTCTATCTTGTTACGGTCAGCAGGTGAAGCGGATGACGAGGCTTTACTTGGTTGAGAACGGCTGGGACGTTTTGGCGGTTCAATACCGTTGGCTTCGCACCACTGAGCTATAAGGCTTCTAAGGACGTAGTTTGGTGTCACGGCAGTGCTTGTAAGTGTTTGTTGGGTCTTCGGACATGTTAAATGCCCTTCTTCCAACCACTTCTCAATACAGGCACGTTCATATGTCTGTAAAAGAGATTACAAAAAAAAGTCAATAAACCAGAAGTAGCTTGTCAAATATGTGAATAGAAATGCCATATTATCATTATTCGTTAAACTATAGAGGCAAAAGTGCAAATCACTTGGAAAAGACGATGATACATAAATGAGATTCTTCGAGATACAGAAAGATGCTTATTTTACCTGCCCAGATGAAACAATAACTGGATCCTTCATCAATTCTAGTGATATTGGACAGCGGAAGTCTTCTGGAATAAAGGGGTTCTTCTGGTCTCCTTCTTGTAGCCTCGGCCCTCTGCAACTAGGAGGTGGTCGTCTCTGTCTTGCGGGAGCTTCTAAGTTAGGATTCTCAGTTTGTACAAAGTCCTTGATTCTCTTCAGTACCATTGACATCTTCTCAAAGCTCTGCCCGGGATCTCCACCGCTGGAAGTAACCATCTCATGTAGAGCCAACGACTCTTCCGTGAGTTCTGTCACTGTCATCAGTTCTAGCTTCTTAGCAACTCTCCTGAGAACATCCGGGTCTGCGATATTTCCACTTCCGTTACTGTAAAGGGAAACAAGATCTCCATACAGTTCATCATCAGGGGCATCGACTCTTCCTTTGGCTCTTTTGAACTGGGAGAGAACAAGCTCAACCTGGCCACATACTAAAATCAATCCCTCAACAAGTTCTCCTGAACACTCGATGAATGAGCAGGAACAGAAGATGTACAGACCAAAGTAGACCAGACAAAAAGAATGTTTCAAGCATCGAATTCCTGTTTAGCTTTCTTGTGCTTCTACATGCGCACACACGTTAATCACAGACAAGAAATGAGAGGCAATACGAATTAATTTGCTGTCATAAAAAATCAGCAACTCATAGTTGAGCCATATGCATTCAAAGGAACGTATCCGCCATACTATCAGATGACATCAATCGGGCAAAATTAGGATCGTGATCATGAAGTCCCTACCTGTTCCTTAACTTCATCTGATATTTCCAGATTTTCAAAGGGAATTTCCCTCAAAGCCTGTTCCAATCGACTCGTTACCTCCTGAAATTTACCCATGGTTTGATCCCTCTCCAAGACCTACACATCGCAAATGGAATATAATCAACGAGGAAGAAATAATAAACTTGAAAAGATTAACTGAGAAACAGCTCATAATCCGACTCTCGCGTCTAATTTTCCTTCTCCTCTCCATCAATTTCTAGGGAACCAAACAGATCAAGCACAATCAATCAAACCAGAAAAAAAAAAAATCACGGAAAATCTCAGTCCTAAGAAACAGTGATCGAAAAACACTCACACACCAGGTAAATTTTGCTCCCTTCACTTCCGAACATGAGCAACTCCTTGGCAGGAACCAGCGCCTCCTTCAACGATCCCATGGCTTTCACAGCCTCGTCGGAGATGGCATCCTTACCGTCTCTAATCTCCTCGAACATAGGAAGCAAAAGCTTCAACCGACGAGCGAGATTCGAACACTGCTTCTTCGCCGGAGCCCGAAAATCGGAGATCGAGGCAATCTCGTTCAGTAAATCGACCAAGCTCTGCGACAGCCCGCGTTTCTCTACTCTCGCCATTACAGAAACCCAAAAATCTTCCGAGGATTTGTGCTCGGAGAGGTTGAACTCAGAGACAATAACTAATACAGAAGGATGAACTCGGGGAATGACGGAATCACCATCATCTACAGAGAGAGAGAGAGATTACACGGAAAGGGGGTTTTTAGAGAGAGAAGCAAGCGCTTTTAAGTTTCTCCGAGTCTATCCTTCAAATCGACTCAAGGTGGAAATGGCTCATCTCGGCTCGAATCGGCTCATCTCGGCTTAAACTGAACTGTCTCTGTTGGCGAATTAAATACTGCGGCGGCAAGTTTAAAAAATCCACCCCGGATGTTTTCCTGTTTCCTCGAAAGAACCCTGTCTTTTGTTGAGATACAAATTATTATCTTTTTCGAATCAGATAAAAACTTTGTTGTGTTTTTTCCCTCGAATTTGATGATCCTTATAGTTATGGAAATTTTTAATTATTATTTTAAAACAATTTGAACAATTCCAATTGAATTAAGTTTTAAAAACAAATAAAATAATTAAAAAAATAAAATTATCCATATATTATATAGACGCGAAATTAATTTGATATTATTGAGATACTCATAAAATTATTATAAAAAATTATATAATCAGTCTGAAAATATTGATTTACTAAACTTTTCATATAAATTTTTCTTATAAAAAACAAAATTTCACTATTCTAAAATATATGTTTCGTTTATATTGAAAATTTTAACTTTTTTTAAATACTAAAAGAATAATTACAAAAATAAATTAATTAAATATTGTTTGATATAAAAACCAATATTTTATGAAAAAACTTTCAACTCCTACACTTCTTTTCTCATATTTCTATCCTCTAGAATTCAATCTCCTCTCTTATCTCTGGAATTCTCGTTTCGATATAGAAATGATCGAATTGTTTGGATGAAATTTAATATAATATTTTAAATTGATACATTACAACTAAAATTATGGGATTCAGGATTTCATTTAGTATTTAGCTTGACAACGTTGTTTTTAAATAAATAAACAATATTATTTTCAATGATTTTTTTTTCGAATTTCATTTTGAAAGATAAATTTTGTCTTTCATCTTTTTTTTTAAAGATAATTTAACATGGATGAGAGAAAAACCAAAACCGAGTGAACAAGGAGTCAAAACGAAGCCGTTTGAGATAGGTCAGACCAATCAGCTCGGCTGGGGAACAACAACATGACGTGGCTAAATCTGAGCCGTCCGATCTATACCACGGTTCGGAAAAAGGGCATAGCGGTGGCCAATGAAGGAGAAGGAAAAAGTCCCGTGGGATGCTCTCCGCTGGGTCCCACTTTCGCGCCAGAATTTAGCGGACCCCACTTAAAACTGTAACACATGGTTGACGTGGAGGGTGATGACGTGTCCAGCTGCAACACCGGGATTCGTTGTGAGAAACGCCAAACGAAAAAAAAAATTTCTCTACGAAAGTTTCGTGATCATAATCATATTCGCATCAGATGATAACATTATGATTTTCTCCTCTCAGTCTTAAATTTAAATAAATAATTAATTAACGAGTTTAATTAAATCACCGAATCTAAGAGGGCGAGAGGGACCCAATCACGTGGGAGCATACGCGTGTTTCCCGCTCGCGTTTGTGAATGAATTAAAAAAAATACATATATATTTTCATTTTAAAAACCTCTATAACCGTGTTGATGTATCTTTGTATTTTTTTTTTATACGTATAGTTTTTTGAAAATGTGAACGTGAAAAATTCAAATCTAAATATAATATCCTGGCTACGTACGTTTTTAAATATCTGTTGTTAATGAATGAAAAATTGTCCTTTGGGACATCCGAATTTAAAATAAATTGTACGGTCAAAGAAAATCTGCTTGAATATATGTTTTATACTTGGGATATGATGCATTACGAAATCATTTTTTTTTCCTTATATTTTGTTAATTTTTTATTGAAGAAATACTATATGCACTTTTATGTCTCTGTGTGTGATATATATATCGAGTATTTTCTGAAAATGTTAAAATAATTCATTATTTGTGAAAGAGAGAGAGAGAGAGAGAGAGAGAGAGAGAGAGAGAGAGATCGTCCACATTTACAGCCCAACTAGTGCAGTTATTTTTAGAGCCCAATACACTTTCACTTTCTTACCCAATCAAGTGATTTGGGCCTAAGGCCTTTTTGGTATTTTCCGTCACATTCGGTTTTTAAAATTATAAATATTTCGAGGCCCCTTTTTTTTTTATTAACCAACGAATCAGAATCTTTGCTTGTTGAATATGGAATCTGGTTGAAACGCTAATAATATGAAATTCAATTTTTAGCATCTTAATTGCGTATAAGCAAACCCTTGATAGTTTACTTACCTATTTTAAATCCTAATTATGGATATTAATCACACCTTAATTCGTTGGACACGTCACACGTTAATTGTTCTTTTTTTTGGTTAGTCTAATCAGGTCTCAATTAGTCAAAATGGTACGTATGAGATGAAGAATTTAGTCGAAGATTCTTACATTAGACCCTTTGGGTTAAATGAACAAGGCGTGCAAGTTATAATCATGCCCTTGATTTTTGCTTGCTTCCCATATCTTATTATATGCATGACGTAAATAACAATAATGCCTTAATTACATTCTTATTTTATTAGATTGATTTTTCGTTTTATTAACCCAAATTGCAGATTCAGTAGCTGTTACAATGGAATTAAATTAGGTGATCTATTTAACCTACTATATTATTCATACGGTGTCTTTGACTTCATTTGTATGTATTTACCCTACGTTTTAAAATCTCAAGATTAATTCGAATTTGGTATAAAATATTAATTTGAAAAGATTTATTATAAAGTGAAAAAAATTTGCCTGCAGTACATTTAAGTTTCGACTCTAATGTAAAAGTTTAATAACAATAATAATAATAATAATAATAATACGAAGTTGAAGCTTATAATTCTGCAAGTCAAGAATATCTTTTTTTTTTGTTGCTTGATGCGACCACTAGTTAATAGTATGGTACCAGATTTTGTTAATTAAACAAGTAATTAATTATATGAAATCCAAAAGGATTAATTATTTTGCACCGACATGGCTGTTGCACATCTAATTAAATTAATGCTCTCTGTGAAAGATCTAAGTCTAAATGAATAAATATGGACATTGTCATGCTTAAGAGTGATATATTCTCATTGAAGCCGAATTGATTGACACTGTATCAACGGTATAATTAAAGGTATAAATTGCTAATTAAAAACCCTATTTACAAAAGTAACACACATGCATGAATTTAATTTTTTTTTCTAAAAAAAAATATGAAGTTATGTACGGGTTTAAATATATATATTTTTAAATGGCCACATAATGAAAATGAACGGGTGTAAATAGTCTGACAGGGTCCGCATGCATTTCAATTATTTAAAGTCGTCTCTTATTCACATTTCAGAAAATGTCGGGTCCATATGTTATCATCTTTTATATTTTATGATGAATATAAACTATTTTCCGTACGGTCCCAATATTTATTTATTAAAAAAGTACTCTAAATTTTACACTTTCAAAGTATATTAGGTTATGTTTTTTTTTTTACATTTTCATAAAAATTACTTGTATTTTTGTTGCATTTATCAACGAAAATGAAAGTACAAATAGACGGGTTGACCAAAATGAATGAAGCCCAAACAAAAGTTGAACATTAAATGCGAAACGCTCGGGAAACCTTTTTTTTCTTCAAAGTTATTATTAATATTATAAAAAAATATTATAACTCAGCCAACAACTATTTTTAGAACGGTATTTCATGTGATGATGTCTTAATATTACGGAACAAAAAAGAAAATGATATTTTTTCTTACAGGCTTCTTAAATTAGACGAAGTAAATCCGAAATCTGAAAGATGATGATGATGATGATGATGATGATGATGATGATGTGTGGAGAGCCCGATTCTTAGTCGCATTCAATATTTCAGATCTTGTCTCTTTCCAGATCTTCAGAAAACGACTGTCAAAACCAGAATGTTATCTCCCAATTATTCCCCTGAAACGCCGCCGTTTTGGTCCTTCCCTTACCTTTTTTTTTTTTTACTTTTCACCTATTAGGTAAAAAATCAAGATAATTCACTTGTATAAATAAGATTTTGATTGATTCTGTTTTTTCCCTGCGAAATTAAAAAATTCAGTGTTGTATATGAGTTTTTCTTTTCTTTTTGAAAAGTTGAAATATTTTATATAGATTTTCCCTTATTTTTTAATCTAATTTATTATATTCAACTTTAAATGTGAACAAGTAAACCACACATGGATTATTTTGTACACAAAATGCATGTATTTGGTTTTCGTAAAATATAATGGAGGATGATTTGGTGAACGCAATTTGGTGTATGACTGTTTTTATATTTTGGATCTGAGACGGATACCACATTATAATATTTATTAATGTTTTATCGTAATGCAATATGCTCAATATTTACAATTATTGGATCATGATTTATATCTGCTATTTTCACAATGGACAAATATAATAGATAAATTTGTCGTCTAATAAATAAATACGTATACACTTTAATTATTATCTAATAACGGACGAAGCTAAATAAATTAAAACCATGCTTGTATTTTATAACTTATTCATATTAGAATTTGGTAAAAACAAATATCTAATATGAATAGTTTATATATATAGAATTCTCATAATTCAAATAAATGAATAATCTAGCATATATTCACTATACTTTATTATTATTTTTAGATATTTACATGCTTGGCATCTTAGTGATTTAGATTTGAACGGAGTGACAATCGGACTCGCAGGAAAAATAATTTCAAGTAGCGCGTTTGTTGGCTTTTTAATATTAATTTTAAAATGACCACCGAACATTTTTTTTCCTATTACAAATAATTATATTTTCATAATGGTTTAGGATTTGATAAGGAAAAATAAATTAATCATATAAAATAGAACCGCTGAAATTAATTTACAATGGACTATATTTTTATCTGTACAATATTAGTTAGTAATGTAGCATAATTCTATAACTACTAAGATATAGGCTGATAGTTTTTCGAATATGCGAGCGAAATCTAAATTGCCCGGATTAAGAGGAGCATACATAATTGTGTGTATATATTCCAATAATAGCTTAGTGATGGCTTCTAAATGAACGGAGGTCGAATTATTTACTTAATTAATTCAATTAATAAAATATAGAAAATATAATACCTATTAGACAGAGATATCATAAAAATAAGATAAAAAAAGCCTTATAAAAAAAGTGAAAAGAGGATGAAAAAAAGAGAGAAAATATCTGACAGCTGCCCGAAGTCACAGAGCAACTGTAGCAATTCTGACACGGGCAGGTAATGAATGCTGCCCGTCGAGCAGCCCCAAACTCCAATGGAGTCTTCTCTCTCTCCGACGTTTTTTTTTCTTAATTCACTTTAAAATAAATAAATAAATAACTTTTTTTCCGTCAATGTGTACATAAATGTGAACTCCCCTCGTCTCTCCCATTGGAAGCCCCCAAACGAGAGGCCAACCACCGCTCTGCTCCACGGTGGCGCCGGATTCTTACCGGGGAGCACCTCACCGCGGAGAACGGTGAAGTGCTCGCAAGTTTAGCCGCCGCATATATCGTAAACACAGAACCGTAGAGGGCTATTACTGTGTCTGTGTGTGGAGAGAGAGAGAGAGAGAGAGAGAGAGAAAGAGGTCGGGATGGGGCAGAGTTTGAGCTGTGGAGCGAGACAGGACCACGGCATATTTACCGCCGTGCAGTCCGGCGACATCACAGCGGTGCGCGGGGTTCTGGCGGCGGATCCCGGTCTCTTGAATCAGGCCACTGTCTATGATCGTCACTCCATTCTTCATATCGCGGCTGCTACTGGCCAGATCGAGGTCAGTTTGGTGGTTATCGCTGCGAATCTCGTCGGAATCTGGTGCTTCGGTTTACGATTCGTGGAATATGAAAGTTTTTTTGGTTAAATGGAATATGAAAGTTATTGCTTAATATTTACGAACTAGATCGATGGAGCTAGATTTTCAGATTTTTTTGCTAGATTCGAGGTTACTGACGCTTTTCGACTGCCTCTTATTTTTATTTTCCAGATTTTGTCTATGCTTCTGATGAAAATGACAAATCCAGATGTGTTAAATCGTCGCAAACAGGTTAATAGTCATCGATTCGCCTTTTCCTGATTATATCATGTTTCTGTACTTTCACATTTGGAATGTTTGAGAAAACTTTCTGCTGATTTCTGATTTTGATTCATCTAGACTCCATTGATGTTGGCTGCGATGTATGGGAAGATCTCCTGCGTGAAGAAGCTCATTGAAGTCGGGGCTAATGTATGTCAATCGACTGTCGACTCTTGTCGGTTTCCTCTCGAGTCACAATGATTTCGAGTTCTGGACTGAAATCTGTGGTTGCATTTTATGGAATTTTTGCAGATTTTGATGTTTGATTCTGTCAATCGACGAACATGCTTGCATTATGCCGCGTACTACGGCCATGCTGACTGTGTTCAAGCCATTCTTTCTGCTGCTCAGTCAAGCCCTGTTGCTGTTCATTGGTGAGTGTTAACCTCTTAATCAAGTTACTAATCGGTACTTAGATCAATTTTATGATCGAACTGTGAAACGGCGATAACATTTGGAATCGGATTTTTAGGGGATATGCAAGATTTGTGAATATTAGAGATGACAAGGGAGCAACCCCATTGCATCTTGCAGCCCGTCAAAGACGGCCTGAATGTCTGCATGTCCTGTTGGACAATGGTGCTCTCGTTTGTGCATCTACAGGTGTATATGGGTAGGGGCTTCGCCATGAAATCTTTTCTAAGGTATCACCGTATCAGCACTGTTAGGAGTTTCAAATTGATCGAGATTTACTTCTCTGATAAGCAGTTCTCCGGGAAGTACACCTCTTCATTTGGCAGCAAGAGGCGGGTCTATTGATTGCATCCGCAAATTGCTTGCCTGGGGTGCTGATCGTCTTCAGAGAGACGCTTCCGGGTATATATTCTTTTTCTATAACATATCTAGAGTCAGAAATTTGATATCTTTTATCAGTTTATCTTCTCGTATGTGTTTTACTTAAGAAGCATGTCCATGTACCCTTTTCATCTCTGTGCAGGAGAATTCCATATGTAGTTGCTCTGAAGCATAAGCATGGAGCCTGTGCTGCTTTGCTTAACCCATCATCCATGGAACCTCTGGTTTGGCCATCACCATTGAAGTTCATCAGTGAGCTTAACGACGAGGCAAAAGCCCTCCTAGAGCATGCTCTAATGGAGGCAAACAGGGAGAGGGAGAAAACAATCCTCAAGGGAAGCGCTTACTCCCTGCCATCACCGTCTCCTTCCGAGACTGTATCGGACGACATGTCTGAGGTAGTTTAACCCTTTTACTTAGCATGCTTTTACTGAAATGCCGTGCAAAGAATAAAGATTTACGACAATGTGATTTGCACGATGCAGGGGAGTGATACTGAGCTCTGCTGTATCTGCTTCGAGCAAGTATGCACGATCGAAGTCAAGGACTGTGGTCACCAAATGTGTGCACAATGCACACTGGCGCTGTGTTGCCACAACAAGCCGAACCCCACAACCTCCACGGTGAACCCTCCGGTCTGCCCATTCTGCAGAAGCACCATCGCATGTCTAGTCGTCGCCCAGAACAAGAACAAGAGCCAAGACGAGGTTGATCTCGATCCAACCGACTTGAGCTCCTCGAAATTCAGAAAGCACAGAAGATCGACGAACCTGAGCGAGGGAAGCAGCAGTTTCAAGGGCTTGTCAGGCGTTGGATCCTTTGGTAAGATGAGCGGTCGTGGCTCCGGAAGAATCGCTGCCGACGATTGGATCGACAAACCGTTGTCGTGAACTCGAGGTTTGGATTTAGAGCTGCGAGAATGGATATCTAAGCAAATTGCAAAAGATGCAGGGGAGATTGTGAAAATGTATAAAATATAGATCCATTTGTGCAAGGATTGTAGATTTTGTGGGGTGGGGTGGAAATAAGCAAAAAGGGGAAGTGAGTTGTCTCCTCTTTTAGCTCCGGTAAGTTTGGCAAATGGTTGTTGTTTCATTTGTTTACTTCATATCGAAGTATCTAAAATTCTTGTCTCTCACCTTCTTTCTTTCCCCCCAAAATTTGATATGAGAAGGGGTCCAAATTGATTAAGATTTGACTTTGGGGTGCGAAATCTAAAAAAATAAAAGTTGGGTCATCTATGAATATCGGCTGCTTGGTTAGGAAGAGGCCAAAGATGGCGAGAAGAGTCAAAACTCAAAAGGGATGGGTCTCTCGTGGGGTTCTGAGGGGATCTTCGACGACCCCACCACATCATCATCCCATCCTTCCCTTAATTTGTGCATCATCCTTTTTATTAAAAAATTTCTTCAACTTTTTAATGTATTTTCTACAAATCTATATTAGTCTATTTTAAGTGACCAACCAGATGCCAATTTTAGATTACATTTTTATTTTTTTTATTTATCATTGTTGGAATAGTGTTTTAATTTTAAATTGTACCTCTTGTCTTTCATCTTCCTTACAATATTATTCCCATCACTTTTGTCTAGTCACGCATGGTAAAGAACACAAATCTCGTTTCAGAAAAGCATCATAGATTCTAATCATTTAAAACAACCGATTCGAATGAAACATTTAATTTCATCGACTTTGAAAATTAAAATAACACACACACACACACACCCATTAAAGGATACTTTACTTATGATGTTTCATTTTATTTTATTTTTAAAAATTGTGATTCTGGTTTTACGTATTTTTTAAAATGATACTCCCTCCGTTTCAAAATAATTGTTGTTTTAGAGTATTTCATATTTTTTAAGAAAAGACAGAAAAAGTCACATATACCCTTATTTAATGATAAAAACAATGTTACCATTAATAATTTATTAGAATTTAATAGGGATAAAATTAGAAATTATTGTAAAAAAATGTCTTGAAAATGTAAAATGACAAATATTTTGAAACATGGAAAATAACCTAAAACTACAAATATTTTGAAACGGAAGGAGTAAAAGTCACCTTAATTTGAGCCGAAAAAGATGATACGTTGATTTTATGTCGGAAAGGTAAGGTTAAAAAACAATTAAAATGGATTCTAATTACACTTTTTTGCCATGTTTAAAGTTTCGATATTCAAGTAATTAGTGATGGCCTAATTGCTTACCTCATGGACAACGGAAGGAACATATGCTCCTCGGAGGTTTTCCATATATTATATATCTTGACCTTTCCAACACTCAAAATATGACGTGTTATTTTTAAAATATAGCTTGAATTTAACTTAACACTCAATTGTAATTATATATATAGATATAGATGATTATTTTTTTTTTAGAATTTATCTTATTATATAAAAATATATTTTTTTTGTGAGGGTTATGCCAAGTATGGGTTCGAACCGTGGTTGTGGGTTATGCTTTCCCACTATAAAAATGGTTTTTAATATATAATTTGTTTTATATCTCAATTATTTTAACATCTATTAAAAAAATTATTAGGATATCTACGTCCAAAACGAGTAAGTGATTTAAACATTAAATTCACTCTTTTACCATGTTTAAAGTTTAAATATTCAAGTAATTAGCGGGGGACTAATTGAATCTCCCTCTTTTTTTTTGGCATATTATAACGTATTTTAGGGAATAAATAAATTAAAACTAACAATTTAAATAGAGCAGAAATAGTGGGACCCAGTGGGTCATGAGATAAGACACGTGGACGGATCAGATGGCCCACAATCCGATGAGAGTGAAAAGACTTTCACCAGATGAAAGGCCTTCCGACACCTAACCCCTCATTAAGGGCCCATTTCCCTCTGTCCTTTTTTCTTTGTACGTTTTTTCCCCGCAATTATTTCTTCCTCGTCTTTACTTTTATGATACATACATACATACATACATACATACATACATACATATATATGTATCTAAACATACCAAATTATCGTTATACCAAATTATCGTAATGAGATGTATATAATCCCAACCCAAATCAATTGTCACGTAGCAATCTCATCTCTTCAACATAAATGAAAATAAGACAGGTCATCCCTATTGTCCTAATATTACCATGAACCATCATCACTTGTCCTTGACATTGTTAATTTGTTTTCATTGACATATTATGGTATTTTATGAAAACCCATTCTATATCTCAAAATATCCATATACCAATCCCTACGATGTGCTTTCCACAGCACGGTGAAAATGATAATATAATCACATGATTTGTTATTTTCTAACAAGTTGTGAAATTTTGATATTTACACAAGGCCTGAGTTTTTTTATATCTAAAGATTATGTGTATTTATTTATGATATTTTTCATGAGAATATACATTCATATATATATATATATATACATGTGTATATAAAAAAAATCTAAAAACATAATTAGCAAAATAATAATGTGAAAATGATAACAATAAGTTTATTTTGTTGCTGTGTACACACACATACTTAAATTAATGCTAAGCTTTATTAATTTTTATAAGTTAATTTAAATAATTAAAATCAAATATTAATAAAACTAAAATTAAGTGTCTTAATACGATTAACCTAGATCTAAACCAAACCAACAACATCTCCAATCAACTTGAACGGAATAATTTGTAATATATACCTTTTTGCATCTGTATTCAAGTTATTAAAGACAGAAATATCCAAAAAAAAAAATTGAAATTCAGAGGGGAAAAAAGCATAGACGCAGTTATCATTTTCTATAATTTGTGAAACGCCGGTTGGTGCGGTTTGATATATTTAATAAATAGAAATATCCAAAAAAAAAATATCTGAGATCAAAGTCTAAGGTGTCTGACATGAACACGTTATTGACTGCTTCACCTGGGTCTCGTGCTGTCTCATGTGGCTGCTTCTCGTTGTCTCTCACGCATTTGATTTGGACCCGTTTGATTTTTTTTTATTTTTATTATTTACCATTATTAAAAGTACATAGACCAAGTCAACAGTTACTTGCACTAATTAAATAAACATTCCGTCTATAATTTTGGACAATCTTTGCTTCTTTGGTTATAATATGTTCCAAGTGGTAAGTCCCGTACTTACACTTATTAAATAAACATTCCTCAATTTTAAATAACATATTTGGTACTAAATCGTCAATTTTCTTCTCTTTTTAAAGTGATATATTTGACCTTTTATATAATTTGTGAAGGACAATAAATTGAAAGAACATCATATATCTAATTATATTATATTAAAACTATAAAAAAAAATTAGATATAAATTATATATAAGTTTTCAAATAAATTATAAAATATAAAGGAAATCTTAGGAATATGTATTAACTCAAATCAATATTATGATTTATTTTCCCATAAAAAAATAAAAAATATACAATCTTTATATTGGTTTATAACAAAATCCTATTAAACCCAAGAGTTTGTTTGTTGGTAAGGAAGAAATTTTCAAAGACTTTGACGAGCGATTTTAAATTCTAAGAGATGTATTTATTCGTACTTTTAGCAAACCAATACAATAATAAATGTCTCCGAAATATCTCGTGCTAGAAATTCAACCACTATTCAAGGCTCTCTTAAAAAAATTATTCAAGAAAACGTTTACCATTTAAATTGTTCACATTATGGTGTGAGAAGAAATTCCTTCGTTCCTGCGGTGTGTATAAATGAATATATCTATTTATGGATAAAATAATTTGGTTGCGTGTATATATATATATAAATGAATATATTTATCTATGCATAAAATTAATTTGGTAAATTCCTTTTTAATGGAAAGAATAAATAAATGTTAGTGTAGGGCATTTCTTGCTGGGTCCCCAGATTAATAAAGACGGAGAGGCCCATACCCATATGTTAACGGCCCATGAAAGCATCAGGGCGTTGGGCTAAGCAGAATGACCTTAATGCCCTCTCGTATAATTTAGTTATGTTCGGCACACTCGGTATGGACTTGGTTTAGGCAATTATTCACATCTCAATCCGCTATTCTTTCTTCATCTCCCGAATAAACCGGATTAACCGGAGAGACACAGAAGGCTTAATTTTATTTAATTTCGACAATGTAATTTGTGTTGTTCGCATAAATCGGGATATATATATATATATATATATATATATATATGCGGTTTATAAATTTAGTTTGAACCGGAATGGTCGGTACGATGGGGGACATTTTCACCTTGATTTCAGTGATCGTGCCTTTTCTCCCTCTATGCCTCAAAGTGAGGAATAACTTTTCTATATTTCAGTCCTTTTCATAACCGCATTGTTTTACTTTATTTTATTTCTATTTGATTTATATATGTAAATGTTTGAGGATCAAAACAATTGGCGATTGTAATTGTAGTCCAACTTTAGATTAAAAAAATAAACAATGGGAGATTATTAGGATATGTAGTGTAGATCTTGAAATAAGTTTCGGGAGACAAGTATTGGAGTTGAGATTTGAGAATTGTCCAAACGGATATTTATATAATTAAGGTATGAATTTAGTCGGAAAATTTTAGAACTTTAAATATTAGAAATTATATATTTCGTGCATATTCTAACTCAGATTTTAAATTTTAGATTTTTACTTTAATATATAAAATATGCAGTTACAACTTCAATGGAAGGGGTCATATATATATATATATAATGTTTTAGGTTTGCCTAGACAAAACGTAAGAGAATCAAGGCGCGTGTATATAATTCGTAACTACAAACGTACTACGAGAAGTTGCTACATTACGTGCGTATATATATATATATATACACACGATATACATGGATCAGCAATATCTGGCTTTCTTCATTTTATTGCTGAGATCTTCAAGAAATGTCTGTGGGAAGAGAGACTCAATCTCTCTGGAAGCGTCCACAAAAATCCTTCTCCGGCACCTACCTCCGGTATCGCTCATGATCTTCTTCACTCTTCTCGCCGGAACTTTCCTCGGCGCTGCCGGACACCGCCTCGGAGTCGCCGGAATCATCTGGTCCGAACGTATCGGAGTCTTACTAGCACCATCGTCATCGTCGTCGTCTCTTTCATTTTCTCTCTCTTCACGGAAACGTTTACTCTTCTCTCGTTCTTGATCTTGGTCTTGTTTTTGCTTATCTTCGCGATCTTGGTCAGGAGCATTTTGATCTCTCGGAATGGAAATGTCGGAGCCGTGATCTCGTGGAGATGGCGGAATCTTTCTGTCTGAAAACCCTAGAACGGGTTCATGAAAAAACCCTAATTCCGCTTCGGTTAGATCCCTCGTATCGGAGAGAAAAATGCCGGTGTTGGAGAACGCCATTAGTGGGGGAAAAAAAGAGCGATGACTCAAAATGCAAGCATGAAATGCAACTTTGCAAAAGGCTTTTGGTTATATATAGCGTGAAAGAGAGGAGAGAAATGATGGGAGAGAGAAAGTTGTTGGGTTTGGTGGCGTATATATAGGGAAATATGATGTATATTGCTCATATATATATAGGATGTGTGTATTTGTGTATGTATACATGTAATGTAATAATCGATTTCAAATATTTTTGAAGATGTCGAAAACTTGGAGTTGGAGAGATCTGAGAGCCCACTCTATTGAGGGATCCGATGCAACAAATATACTTCACATGCATGCGTGCATATAATATTATAAGATATTTTATTTTTATCGTGCGTGTTATTTACTTTTACGGTTTTACTACATTTTGTATTACATACTAGGATACATTTAAGTGGGGGAAAAATCATCAAGTGACTGAAAAAATTTACCAAAATTGTTATAAATTCAATGGGTTACGAACGGTTCATATTATTTTACAGTATTTGTTATTCGTCTAATCTTTATTTTGTATGTTTGGGAAAAAAGGTGAATTTGGGTTTCCTTTTCTTCTAAGCAAAAATAAATGATTAGTTTTATATTGCAAGGGAAGATGAGGTGTCGCTTTCAATTTGATATAATTCCTTGAAATGGATCGATTACTCTTAAGAACTTACCAATTATAATCATAGAATCCTTAGACTTCTCCTTAATCTCTTCCTTTCCCCACATCCTTCCAAATTTGCATGCATCTTTTCACATGCTATACCATAATGGTACACGTATACGTATGCATGTACATATACGTATATTCATGTGCATGTACATGTGTACACTATTATATTGGTATGGCACATCATTAACAATCACCAGATATAACCGATCGCCCAATTAAGCAAGACCAATGAACCATCATTTCGGTAAAAATAATATTGTAAATACGCGTTTTAAAGTTTTATCATAATTAATAATACGAGTCTATATTCGAGGATAGTATTCAAAATACATGAAGAGAATACCAAATGGCAAATACATATATTATCACATTTGTCAATCAAAATCCGAGTCTCTATTGGAGAGTGATATTCACTTGGATTTTTTCGATCTTCTATCTATATATAGTTTGGATCAAATGTTCGGTGAATTTTTACATTATAAAAAAAATGTATAATTAGTGTCAATCTTGTTATTTATATGACATATTAGTGTGTTATATCACATCAATTATATATGTGGTGAATTTAATTAAAGAGACCAACAAAAATTAGAATTTTATGTAGATGATTGAAGTTGTTATATGGATCTAATTATATGTGGATTAAATATGCAAATGCGTTGTAATTTTGTCTCATAACAAAATTAACGCATGTGATCCTTCTGCAACATGACAAAATCATTAGATCATACAATGTATTGGATGTGAATGTGTAAACCCTTTTTTATACATAAATTACAACAAAATAATAAAGACAAATCATATACCACTTTTATGATCCACTAAAATTAATTAGTGGGATTGACCGGGAAAATATGACATGACAATTTAATCATTATAACTTCGGAAAATTAAGAACAACACGTCGATAATTCACTAAGCACTTTTTATTTTACTGAAAATATTTTTTAAATGTTACCAAAAATCTTAAAACGATTGTTCACACTAAAGAAACTCGTGAGAAGCTATATGATTATGATTTTTGAGGTACTTGTTAAAAATTCTAAATTAACAAATAAGTCCGCATATGTGTGTATATTTATTTGATATTGTGGTCAAGATTTCGGCGAGTCATATCATATATATCGTTTTCCAACTCCATCAAATATTTAACATCGTTAAAGAATTATTCTGTTTATTTAAATGTTTTAAAATTGATGTATCATATTATATTTTTACAGTTGATGGTTTTATATATGATATTTGAAATTAAATCTAAATTATCTGTTAATATAATAACCAATTAAATACGTCCATAATTTATATACTACATAATGGGAAAAAGAAGAAGTTTCTGTTTGCTAGATACTATAAAATAAATACATGTAATGCCGAAAACTTGTTAATATTAAAATGCTAGATATCATTAATTAGAATCGAGAGACTTTTGTTATAGGAAATGATAACATTTATTTCATAGAAAAGGTCCATATATTTATATAAAATCAAATGGGTATGGTTACAGTAATCAATCAGTTATAAATAAATAGATGTGTAACCCAATGAAAAAAAAGGAATAAAAGCTAAGTAAGCACACACTCTCATGGCAAATAATTGCATTTTACATCTCATGCTCAATCATTTTGCCTCCCACCTCCCCCGTTTCATCTGCTTTTGCCTTTTTTTTTTTTTTACTTCATCTGTATTTTCACTGTGCGGTTAGTATTTAACATAGAAATACCGAACATTAACAATTTACTATGGGTTTTAAAATTAAAAAAAAAAACATTTTTATAGTGAAATATTTTTTAAAAGAAATAAAAAAAAGTAGATTTATATGCATTAAACCAATGAAAAATGACAATAATTTTTTTTATGTGTATGTTCACCAAGTATACCGGGCCATGTTTGTATGGTCCAACATATATAAACTCAAATTTTATGGGCCGAAAAAGTATTATACTCGAGCAACTTATAATTGCAAGACCCTTTTTTAGTGCTAGAAATAGAAACCCATATCGTTATATTATTTTGTTTCGTTGAGATGCCGGTTCACATATTTTTGGACCAACATGTTTTCTTTTATAAAAAAAAATATTTTATTCACCTCAAACATATATTTCGTCTGTCTTTCGCGGCCATGTATCACTTTGTCCTGGTCTACAAATAATTCGGCTCTGTCTAAGCTGAAAATTTCTGACATCTCATTAAATTTTGTGGGAAACTAATTAACGAAAGTTTAAAAATTATTATTATTATTATTATTTAAAAATTAAATATGTGGTGCAAATATTTTCAAAAGAAGGTGGGGTTGGTTGGTTGACTTGATCCGTTTAGTGCTTTCCCATTTGGATAATGTAAAGAACATTCAAATTGTTTCGGCATCAAACTTGTCATCAACTACTCAAACCACTTTGGTTGTACACTGAATTGTTTGTCGCCTTGGATTATCATTACATCATATTCATATTGTATACCCATCCGTTCCAAAACTTATTAAGTTAATTCATATTATATATGATCGCAAAAAGAAAATGATGACATGATATGATTATGATGGTGTTAGATATTTCCAAAAATCACATTCCCATTAAATTGGATATGTTACTAAAATCGAAAGCTATATATGTAAATATTTTGTTTCTGCATCGGTCGCTTGTTCTATATTTGAATACTACACGGCCTTTATTGATTTGTGGTTTTTTTTTCCCGGTTAGGATTCAGACTCACCGAGTCAACACAAAAGTCAAACTTCCAACACGTTTCTAAATTCTAAAGGAATTTTCCACAACGTAAAAAAAAATGATTCGAAATTTGATTTATTCTGCATCATTTGGATTCGACCCTGAAATTGTCCCCGACAATGGAGCTTCTACAGCCCGAGCACCCGCCCGATCTCTACCCGACCCGGGACCGGCTTCGTGTGTTGTCGTCTCCGTCGAGGCTAATCTCGCCGGAGACGGCGGAGGTAGACGCCCTCCGGGGAAACAAATCAGACGAAGTGTACGTACTTGTCGGAAAGAGCGCCGACAAAGCTCCGAGCTTGCTCCAATTGGAGGCTCAAGCAATTCGCTGGCTGCGAAATCTGTTTTGCTTCACATTGACCAACTTTCTCATCTGATCCCAACTTTGTGTACGCACGTCTCTGTTCTTCGCCCCCTCTCTCTCCGTACGCAAACATGTTATATAAGCAAGTTACGCCAAAACCCTGGATTTCTATATTTTAGTGAGGAAGTTTATTTGTTGCTTTCTGGACGATTTGCTGATTGTATGTTACGTTGAGGGTTGAGGTTGTGATTTGGATGTCTTTGTTGAAATTTCTTTGAACAGATCGTCGATGAGCTTCGATTCAAATCGTTGAAATTCTGTGCTCTGGTTGTAGCCAATGGATCACTAAGACAGAGAGACGCACAAAAGAAAAGAAAAAAAGGTCATCTCTTTTGTCTGCAGAGAACGAGTTCTTAGAATCTGAGAACTGATGTTTGTTCCTGCAGTTTGGGAAAGTCAAGCTAACAGTGAATTGGTAAAATGCAAACAGAAGGGAAGGAAGGGAAAAAAAGATGAGTTTCTTCTCTTGGATATTTACTCGAGGGGGCCAAGGTGATTAACATTGTCTTTCTATGCATTACTCTTGTCTTCTGCAACTAGTTTGAGGAATGAGTGTTGTCTGAATCACGTGTGACCTTATTGTAAGTGAAGCTGACTAAGCGTTGAATATTGTATGCATACATACGGGTTGAGTACTTGCATATGTGTGTATATGCACACATGCTTTTCTCGGTGGTTTTAGGATTATTGTCCTTGTGGATGTAAACTGTTGTGAGATATGGTTTGTCAACAAAGGAAGCTGTGGGCATTGCCTCTATGGTCTGTTCAATGAAGCAAGAACAGAGGCTGAGGTATCAAAACACGAAGCTTTTCAGTATCTTACGACTTCCCGTGGGAATGTCGCTGGTTGGATTGGTTGGGAAAGTGTGAAAAGCCGTGGCCTCGGGGAAGTTAGCATCTTTTTTTTCGGATTATAGGGCGGTTATTGAATGGCCTGTCTTTCAGGTAAATCGATGAATTATCATCATCGATTCTCAACCGAACTCGGGTAAAGATTTCACCTGAATCTGTGAAAAGGGGTTGTCTAAATGATCAACAACCATTATGTAAATCTTAGGCTTTGGTTTGATGCGTCGAAAACGTACGTTCACAGAGCTTTGCTTTCGGGTGATAATCCATGATCCATGATCAGAGGCCATGAATGATGGGTTGCATTCGAATGGAGGGAGGGTCGTGCCATAAAATTCAGTTCTTGAATCAAAAGAATGTGCGTACAAAAGTACTGAAGGAAAGAATTGACAGCTTCATAACTGATGCTACCAACCCAACCACTTCCCCCTAACCTTCAAACTCTTACATTTACTTCCTCTGATTCCATTACAGTTAGCAGCTGCAACTCCCAACCGAACTGATTATGGTTCTGTAAAGGCTTCACCAAATCCGATGATCTGAAGTGTAAAACATGGAACAACATTTTCAGTTCTTCTGTTCGGTTACAGAGCTTTGAATCGCTTTCGAGACTCGTCGAAGAGAGGCAAAACTTTTCTTTGGTGTTTTATTAACAGCATAATACATGATCGATCCGAGCTGAAGCACATCTCTCTGAGCCCTTTTTTAGGGTTTCAGGGTCGATGAGAGCTCGAGCTATCGACCCTGAAACTCGAACTGAAAAAATGACATCAGATGTTATCGATCCGGCCTCAACTCAGAGACCAAACACTCCGGTTTTTTTATACACAAGATTTCCACATTCTTCCTTCTAAAGAAATCACTATTATGGAAACATCGTCGTGGTACCGTCTCCGCTCCCCTTGAGGTATCTCCAGCAATTCATGGAAATCCATACCTGCAAAAAAAACATCATCAAGAACACACAATGAACATTTTGATCAGAACCCGGAATTCCTTGATGAATAAAGAATGCAGCAACAGTCTTCGATTAACGCATACCCGCTTTCTTGGCGGCACGGAAGAGAAGTTCCTCGACGAGGTGTTGAGCCGGGTCTCCTTCCGGTTGTAAAGTGATGAAGAGCTCAACTTCTGAGATGGCTTCTTCGTTCGTGAAGTATTGGTAGAGGCCATCTGATGATAGTATCAGAAACCGGTCTTTAGGGCCTAATCTGTGGTGGTATAGAGACGGCAAGCAGTTGATGTAGGGAGATTTCCCGATGTAATCTATCCGAAACATCTCAAGAAGTGCATTGTTCCATTTAGGCTGCGAAAAAAAACAGTGCCCGGGATTGATTAGAACGAAACCGACGAGATTGATCTTAGTACTACCTCATGTAGATTCCACACTCGTAACCTTTAATGTTCATACCTGCTTGAGGAATCCGGCACCGAAAGCTCTTGTGACCTTCAAGCTGCCTTTCACTCGTTCATTCGACACAGCGTAAGCATCGTCCGGGTGCTCGTTCTTGATTCTCTTCACTTCCTAAATCACCACAAGAACAAAAACGACAGCGGATTCTGTCAGTTCAGTTGGATATTTTGCATATTTTTCAACTTGTGTTTTCGTTCAGATGCATAGTTTTACCTCATCTACGCTTGTGCTGTGATCAACTGTGAGTTGCAAAGCTGATAAATTTGGGACCAAACTGGATCGTTCCCCGTCACAATCGTTCATGGTTTCTTCGTTGATCCGTTCCAAGTCCTGCTTTATCTTCCATAACCAGTAATCTGGCTCGGCTTTCTGCCCTAAGACAGCTCTACTATCACCAACATTCATCACGTAAACATCTTCACCTTTCATCAGCATCACCAGAACACAGGAACCCATCAAAGCTAGTTCGGGATTTTCATCGAGCATCTTGTCTGCAATCTCCAAGTACGCTTCTTCCGTCTTCCTCAGAGCTCGTGACAGAGCTTTGAGAACATCCGAATGGTTTGTCGCCGGCGATCGCTGCGACCCACTACTCCGATTCATCTGCTCCTTCAGTAGACGGTCGAGGTCGAGCCTCTCTCTGTCCCACTCGCACCTCCACCGTCGCTGATTCTCCTCCAATTTCCTCGATGTCCGATCATTGTTCTTCGATTTCTTCCCCGATTTGCCAGTTCCCGAATCAGTGCACCCGCTCGGACAAGGATTATTGTCCTGATCAACGCAGTTCGAACACGATTCGTCTCCACAAGTTCTCTCCGAATCGATCTCAGGAGGAAACTCCGGAGCTTTAGGGTCGATCTTCGGATCGTCCCATAACAAACCCTTCAGCTCCCGATGAACGGCCGGATACAGATGCGAGAGTAGATAATCCGGCGCATCTGGCCCGTTGAACCCGTCGTAGATCCCGACAAAAAGCCATCCATGCTCCTCCGACACGACGACGTGAACTCGATCCTCGCCGGCTTTCCCCTGAGCCCACTGAAGGTTCTGGCTTTGCAACGAAACGTCGTCGTCTAAGCTTCCATCGCTGCTAAAGTTCAAGCTATTGACGGTGAGATTCTCGTTGTGCTGCTGGGTTTGGTGGATTCGGTTTTTATCCGACCCGATAATCCAGTCGGTTTCTTTGACCGATATCACTCCTTTGATCGGAGCGACGATCGAGTTTTGTCCTCGAGCTATCGTCTTCGATATTGCACGCCGAAGCACTCGAATCAACGACCCTTTCCTAGACCCAACCTGGAAAGCTACACCTCCATGGGAGAAGCTTCGTTGGAACTGATCGGAGCCGGATTTTTCAAGCGGGCCGGAGAATAACCCGACCCGATCTAACGGACCCGACATGAAATTCCTCTCGATCGGACCCGAAAGGAAACCTCTCTCGATCGGACCTGAACCCGGGACTATTGGGCCCGAACTCATCATGCTTCTCGGGATCGGTTGCAGGGGGATGGACGAAAACGACGTCGTGCTCTCGAACGCCGCGGCGCGGTCCATGTGTCCGTACGGGTCGTAGAGGGAAGTGGAGAGCGGAGTCGCCGCGTTGGCGCTGACGGAGGCGCCGGAGATTGTACGGAACGTCGTTGTCTCTTCCTCGGAGTGAACTTTCGAAGAGGAAAGCCTGGTCGGGTCGGGTCGAACGTAGCAGAAGGAGTGACCCAAGCCTTCGTCGAGAGGATCCGGCACCAGAACCGACATGTCCTTTTTCCGGCGGGGTTGTCCCCCGGTGAAACATACACTCAGCTTTCCGACACCGTTACCCATGAAGAAATTCAATCCTTGTCAGGCAAAAAGTTCAATCCTTTTCACAGATGTCTAAAAGATCCAGATGGAGAAATCAACGTTCTTGGGGAAATTCAAGCTGAGACTGAACCAGAGGATGTTCATCCATGGCAGAGATGCAGAACAGAGAGACGAGGACGAAAAAGAAGATGAGAGAGAGTTGACTTTTGTGCGCGGAAAAAATGATTTTTCTTGAGTGGAAATTATAAGGGAAAGGAATATAAGAAAAAACAAATAGGAGGAGATATTATTCCGTTTTTTATAATAAATCTGAAAAGAAAAATAAAAGTCTGATATGGAAGATGATGAAGATGTGTTTTTTCTCTCTAATAATTATTCCTTTTCTTAAAAAATTTCCATCATCTTTGTTCTACGTTAGTGAGGGGGCGTTGACTAGGGGTTAAAGTTTTAACTTCAACGGGTTTTTTTAAATGCTTCTTGTTCACAACACAAACTCTCACTCTCTAACATATGCACGTGCATCGCACGCTCTTTCGTTGTCCTGCTTCTTTACCTGGCCAATCGATTTTTAGAAGAAAATATTATACTACATATCTTATTCAAAAACATCAAATTTGATTCGATGTCTTTATGTTTATAATTTTATAAATGGTTACTGCAAATAGACAATAGATGAAACATATATAATGGATTAATGGTACGATTTTTGATGTAATAATTGGCCACGACTCCAACACAGTAGGGAGGTTGATGGAGTTTATACGCGCGGGATCTGGCGCGTGAGGTACTACTATAGCTCCCTTCCGAAAGTAAAACGTCAAACGGACAAAACTGGAAACTTATGTCTGAAAATTAGGATATTCAAATAAGATAACGAAGGATCTTAGGGGTGTTTAAGACTGGCTCCTCCTCTTAATCTCTCAAAAGTCAAAGAGCCACAGTTTCAACCCTTTTTTTTATAAATAAATTATAATAATAAATACAATTTGGGAAGTTGTGCCATCCTCACCGTCGGATCTCGTGCAAGGTCCGAGATAGGCTGAGAGACTGCCACGTGGCAATTTAACAGTGTCCCTTTGGTTTCTGTGAAGTCTCGTCAACTCTCATGATTCCCCTCGCCCGCAGGTTAGTGTTCCTCTCTCTTACGTCATAAATATGGAGTTTGTTTTTTGTTTTTGTTTTTTTATTTATTTTGCACCTATATATATATATACACACATATATATGGATAGTTTTGTGTGTATTTCGAATTTGTTGAGCTGGTGGTATATTTATTTACTATGGTTGGGGGTGGTTGTGATAATTACAATTCGTAATCACGCAAGCAGAACCAGATCGTTTGACTTGGTTTCCCTCTTTCCTCTTTTGTTTATCATTTCTTAGGAATAGACCCCGAAACCACGTAATTGTACTTACAATTTATAGCATATATATAATATATGTATATATATATCAATGTTTGGACGTTGCAACTTGCGAGATAAATTATATCCGATCTGTTACTTGTAGAATGGAAATATTTATAAACTAAAACTCTTCTTTTTTGCGTGACGCGCAAATGCATTATTAGATAGTTGGGTCAACCAAAGGAATATATGAGAGATTAATGTAAAGTCAAATCATTTAGCGTATTTATGTTTGGTATGAGATGGTACTAGGCGCATAAATTGGATTGAGAATTAATTCACACACAAAATTTAAGCTGAATTAATATTTGATATCCGAATAAACATGTAGTGTCTAATGAAAAATGGTTAAGCTCATAATTAAATTGATACGGTGTATAATCATATTCGACAACTGTAATATGGTGACATTAAGAAGGAAGGAAAAAAGGGACACGTGGTAAGTCAGGGGGGCAAGTTTAAGAGACGGTCAAAGGCGTTTATCATGAGGCCTGTGAATAAGAAGAGGAGAAAGTGGAGACGGAACGACCCCTTGTGCAGTTGCATTTATTTAATGACGAGAATGAAAGGATAATTAGGTTTAAGGTTGCGATTAGCCAAAACAATTAAATATGGTTAATTGTTGATTTCAACTTTAATCATCATTTGTTTTACTGCTAATTAATAATTCGAACCCCATTAATCATTCAAAATATTGCAAGTGGAGAACCAACCCACCCTCTCGTCTCTTACCCACCTTCATGTGCTACTTTATTATATTTGCTCCATTCCTTGTTAGATTTATATCCATCGTATTTTAAGACAAAAATTTTGGAATCTTTACAAAATATTTGTTAGAAAAACAAAAGCAAATGTAATATTAATTGTATTGGTTTATTTTGTGATGTATCATATGTATACGCATGTACAAAGAATTATAACAAAATACATAAAAGATGTGGCGTGTTGACTTTGAAATAAATCAAGGAAAGAAAACGAGTAAAATAACGATACCGCTCTAAAACCTTGACTTTTATGAAGTTGGGATATGAATTAGTTTATAATTAAATATAATGTGTGCATAATTTTGGATTAGTGGCTTCTAATGGTGGGGTTTTGTCCGTCGTATTATAAGTTTAGTGAGTCTTTTGTGTCATTTTATTATTTGGTGGCTCCTTCCACGCGTTTTGCTGGCAATAATGCATAGTTATGTATGTATGTATGTATGTATGTATGTATGTATGTATGTATGTATGTATGTATGTATGTATGTATGTATGTATGTATGTATGTATGTATGTATGTATGTATGTATGTATGTATGTATGTATGTGAAGTGTAAGCAGATGATTACATAGAGGGGAGATTATGCTACCCATTAAACAAACACAATCCGAAGGAATTTGGTTGCAGTCACCATTGTCATTTTCATGATGAACCCATCACCACCTCCACCACCATATCCTCCACTACTAACAGTAAAAACACACACACACACACACATATCCATATATAGACACATACACACATATACATATACATATACATACACAAACACAAAATAACAAGATGCGTTAGAATTGAAAGCGCGAATAATAATGGGAATGGTTATGTGGAGGCTTTTTTTTTTGGGGTATAACAATAGATGGACGCATAATGGGCTTATTTTCTAAAGTGACAAGAGGCCCATCACATTTGTTGGGCCCAAACAAGGCCCACTACAATTTGGTGAAATAAGATGAACCGTTGAATTGTTATTCAAACGGTAACGCGATTTAGAGCCGATGGTAACTTGTGATTGGGCTCTTCTAATGGGCCGTTTTGTGAGCCGTATAATTGGCCCAAACGGTGGATCCAATCATGAAAAAAATAATTTTTCTTTTGCTTCGGCCGATTAAGAAATTTAAAGTATCCATCCTCCTCATATTGAAAATATTTGTTCATGTACACTAACAAATTTTATATATTGCCCATATAGAATTATCTTCCGTATTCATCAGAAGTTTTTTTTTTTTTTATAACGGAGGACCTCTAGCTGCTATCCTTCGGGCGCACTGACTAGGTAAATCTCCGGTCCAGGAGCAGTCTTTGTATATGGATCATATAAACCCAGAAATTACCTCCCTTCCCACCTGTCAGGAATCGAACACTAGGTGGAGTTACCTTCTATCCCAAACTTGACCACTCGTCCACGATCTGTTGGGTCGTATTTATCAGAAGGTGGTAATGCCTGTCTTTCTATTTCTTTATTGTTTTAAAAACTAAAACACAAATATTCGCCAACAAAGATATATTTAAAATATTATTTATTTTTTTGAAAATATCGTGTAATATCAAAATTGAAATTCGGCAGGAAAAAACTGCATTCGTATCTGTAATCCTGTCTCTCTCTTTTCTTTTTTTTTTGTACTCTATAGGTTCTCGTCTGTTTGGGTCAAACAAGCAAGCAAGACTTAAGGTTTAATTTTCCAGGTCAATAATCTTGGCTTACAATGACTCACAACCAAATCAAACATATACGCAGCCATACATATATATATATATATATATATATATACATACATGCCATGCCACATAAAAAAAATGATGTATTCGTGTACCGTAGAGGGCAAGGCAACCATTAGAATAAGCACCTCTTTTGACCTGTCATTATTCCATTGCCTTTTTCTTACATTTTTTTATTAGCCATTTGAGTTTTATAAATTTTAATACACACACTAATAATAATAACAACAACAACAACAATAATAATAATAATAACAATAATAATAATAATTCAAGGTGCATGCGTAAAAGCTGATAGAATGATTCAACAAAATACAAAAATAGTATGCTTTGAGTTTGCGCATGTAATTGCAATAGATTCACGGAAGCATATACGGGTGGACGGTAGTATGTCTGATTAAATGGGATGATATATATATATATATATATCTAATAAATTTTTACATAATTTAATTTAGTAAAAGATTTTCATATTTTGTAAAATATAATTCGATTAAAATAAATAAATGCTTCTAAATATATTCATTGTTGAAATGTGTATATTGGTCCTTTAATGTAACAAAGCAAGAGACTTTAACAACCAGTCAACCGCCACCAATCCTATTTGTTTTACCATCCGAATATACAAAATAAAAACATTTTTTTAATAGAATTTAATCACGTGTTATAAATTGCTTAGAAGTAGCTTACAATTTCAAAGATATTTATTTCATATATAATTCAAATGAAAGACTGTACATTTTTTTTTTCAAACTTTCAAACAGTGATTATTGACAGTGTCTTTTAATGTTGTTAAATTACAAACAAAATGCCGAGAGGACATCAATTAAATTATTTTTACAGGAGCACATTTTATGTGAAAAAAATAAGGAAATTATCATATTCAGCTGTAAAAGAAAGTGCCATGGGCCATGTCAATGGATGCTCATCTGTAATCCATCATGCTAGCCTATGGATACATGTGATACACGTAGTTTATTGATACATACATGTACATATACATGCGCATATATGTGTGTGTATATCATATGCAGACATTTGGCATCTTTTCCACCCGTGGACCTAGTAAGATTTGGCGGGTAAAGTAAACCCACAACTGGAAAGAAGAAATCGCTTTGGTCTCTTTCTTCTTCGTCTTGGTCTTCTAGTTCTAGATCTTCTCCCTGTTTCATACAGCTTCTGTTTTTTTTTTTTATAAAAAAAAATCTCTTTTCAGTTTTTTTTCCTCTCGTGTTCTTCGGGTTGTACGTAATTCAACAGTAACCGGTGATTCATTAGGTATTTATTGGTTTTTGCATCAGTTTTTTATTTTATTTTATTGCGGAGTACCTTCTTCTCCATCAGGTTAGCTTCCAGAGCTTTCGCTCGATGAACTGTTACGGTTTTTTTATTCTTCCAAGTTTCTGGGTTTTCATGAATCTCCACAAAGACTCTATTGTCTGATTTTAATGATTTGATTCATCATCAAAGGTGAAAACTTTTCGAACTTGGACTCTGACCCAGAAGAAAAAAATATGATGTTGGTATATCACTGCTGTATTGTACACCATCAATGGATTCATACTGAGAATTTGTCTTCCTTATGAATCCAGGACCAGCCTGGTGATTTTGAAACTTCAGACATGGGGAAGCGTTTGAAGAACGAGGAATCGAGCCCTGGATCAGGGAAATATGACCATAAACAGGGCTGGTTGGCTGGAATGCTTCATGTGTTCGACTACCATCACTGGAGAACTAAGCACTGTCGGAAACACCACCGTCCTGTCTGTAAGGCCATCTCTCTGTTCCCTGTTCCTTGCTTTCTTGCTGCTACCCAGTTGTCTGTAAAAACCAGCGTCTGAATTTGTTTCATGATCAATTTGGTTGTCTGATAGGCTGGGGGACCCCGAGAACACATTCTTTGGTTCGAGAGTTCGATGAAAAGCAACGGTTTCTGAATCCCCCGATGGACGATCCGAAGCGGATTGAGGCTGCAGGGAGGCCTAATAGGCTTACAAAGTTGAATAACAAGACAGGTAAAGATTTACAACAGAAGCAGCATGTTCAGGACTATGTGGATATCATCGAGATCTTGGAGAACAAGGAGATATTTGTCAAGATCCTGAAAAATCGAGATTCGGGTCTTGGGAAGCAGTTCCAGATCAAGCAGAGTCCTAGAAATTTGACAAAGTCGGGTTCGTTTCCTCTCCCGGGTTCTTCCCGTGCTTCGAGCCTTAGGCCTACTACTACACTTGAGCACAAGAAGAAAGAGCATTGGCGTGCTCCAAAAGAAGAGAGTTCAGTTCTGACACTGTACGTTCCAAGATTCGGTGTCAGCATCAGTCCTAAGGAACAAAACCCAATCTCTCCTTCTTCTTACTCATCCGGGAGATCCGATGATCATGGATTCAGCCATGCAGTGAAGAATGGCTTTAGAGGTGTCAAGAACTGGCTCAAGAGCGTGATTAAGGACAAGAAAAACAAAAGGAAGCTTCCACCGGCTCGCAGACACGAAAAGGGTGATGTCGGGAGAGAGGAATATCGTCCCGTGAGACGAGCAATCTCTCTCAATGATTCTTTAGAGCGTTACTCTCAGCTAATGGAGCAGAGTTCCAGAAGAGAAGCTGGGTTGCATTCTAAGAGCTTGAAGCTTTTGAATGAAGAGAATAAGAGCGCTTCAAGAAGCGATAAACCGAGGTTCTTTAGAAGGATTTCGTCATTGTCCAGCCTCGAGTCTCTTGGTTCATTCCTGACAGAGTTGTCCCACGACAGTACTGCTTCTTCTAATCCGGAAACTGGGAAATCCAGCTTTGGAACAAAACGTTCTGCATCTCAGAAGAACGCGGTACACGAAACGGAAAGTAGTGATACCAAAGATTTTCTTGAGAGACCAATATCAAGTGAAGAGAGTGCTGAAGCAATTCCCACAGCAAGTGAATTCCTTGGCGCAGAAGCAAAAGAAAATGGGGAAGAGGAAAAAGAAAGAAGCCACGAAGATCATAGAGAGGTCATCCCAGAAATTCCCGACAGAGAAACAGAGGGACAAGACCCTGATTCAGTTCCCGGTTCCGGTTCCTCTGAAAATGCTGCGAGAAAGTCAGAAACTTTGCTTTCAAAAGGTAATCAAATTAACTTCAATCATCTTCTAGACCATATAGCTTTATGCAAAAGTATGTCGTTTCCAGTGATACAGATGAGGAAATCTCAATTCCATGGATGCTTTCTGAATCTCCTTCAGGTTCAGATCCAAATTCCAGTGACTTCCGGACCAATGCACACGGTTCTTGGCTGGGGTCGCAGAGCAAATCCAATTTCCAGAACGATCAAGAAGAGCTCTTTGCAGAACTCAAGAATTTCAACCATGAAGATGAACAAGAAGAAGAGGAGGAAGACACCTACTTACGCTACGTGAAGAACGTGTTAGAGCTCTCAGGCTTCCTCGAAGGACAATGGCATTCAGAGGATCAACCACTGAACCCATCACTCCTCTGCAAGCTCGAGCCATGCACACGTGAAGAAGACGACGAGCTTCTCTTCCATCTGGTTAACGAGGCGATCCTCGAGACTCACAACCAATCACACACATATTTCCCTCGAGCCTTTTCCTTCTCACGCCACGTCTATTCCACGCCAACGGGGAAGCATCTTCTGGAAAAAGTGTGGGGGAGAGTTCAGTGGAGCCTCTCCGGCATGCGGGCTGACGACAAGAGAGATTGCTCTTTGGACGATCTTGTCGGGAGAGATCTTGGAAAAGCTGATGGGTGGATGAAGGTTCAAGCCGAGGCTGAATGGTTGGCACTTGAGCTTGAAGATCTGATTTTTTATGAAATTTTGGATGAGTTGGTTTGCGTTTGTTCATAGCTACATTCAATCTCAATGCCAATTTTTTTTAATATATATATAATATACACATGTCATTTTGTCTGATTGTTTGTAATATTATTCTTTAGATGTGTAATGAAAAGATACTATATTTGGATTTGGATTTCCTCAATCTAAAGAAAGTGTGTATATATATATATGAATATATTTAATTGTTATATGATAATAATAATATATATATGTGTCTTGAACATGTCAAAATGCATATAAAATTACGTGCATTTTATAAAATCTATTCACTTATTAATAATAATTTTGAATAAATTAATCAATTTATAATGATAGATTAATATTAATAATTTTTATGTTTTTTATAATACATATCAATATGTATTATTATTATTATTTTGTATCTCCGTATAAGTATATATATATTACATATTAATATACCATATAGTAATTTATATGAATAATAATTTATATACTTTATAAAATTAACTATGTGGATACATGAAAATTAAAATATTTTGATTTGTTTTACATATTTTAAACTTGCTGGTCACCAAAGTGACCTAATCTAAATTAAAATTAAATATTCAAATTATATGTATGTTTTCATTTTGAAATGATGTAAATATATTGACATAAAATAAATAAATAATTAAACAATTATAATTATTTATCATATTGCTATTACATCATTCAAAGATGGATCAATACATATGATTAATAATATTAAGACGATATAATATTTTGGTTAATAAATATGTATGTCCAAAGATGACATATTTATTTAACTGGTAATATTATGATATTCATTCAAATATATTTTATCTATTCTACGTATGTATTGAAGTATTACCAAAGGTAAATTTTGATACATCTTATTGTTATTTTTGAAATATTAATGGATGAATATTTATAAAATTTTACCTTCACTTGACGTTATGGTTTATGACAATAAAATTGTTAAATTCAACGTGCTTAACTATATAGATTGGTTTGAACATATCTATTTTTATTTGGTTTTAATAATATTGATCATGTATAGTTCAATGATATTGATTCATTGTTGAATGAAAAACCAACAGTTCGACCTTTTTCGAGGCTCTTGACCAGATCAACGAGCCCAAGAGCCCATTAGACAAGCCCATCCGTCTCCCATTTCCAGGATGTGTACAGGATTGGTGGTATCGGAATCGTCTCTGTCGGTTGTGTCGAGATCGCTGTCCTTGACCCCAGCCTTAAACATGATCATGGTGAAACAAAAGGTTTTTTTTTTGTTAAATGTGATTGTATTAAACTGTTAAAACCTACATCAGTTTGTGTACAAAAGGAAACAATTACAAAAAGCAGTGGACTCCCGTACTAGTACGGGCAAAATGATTAATGGAACAATATAACTCAACAAAGTTCTTTGTTGTTAGGAGTCTTAGGACGTTCTGTAGCTGTTGTGACAACAATAACGTTCGAATTGTGCGATCCAATTTGGCACGCATAACCTGTAACGGCTTCGACTTCTACTTGAATATCTTTGAGTTACGCTCGTTCCACACCATATCAATGATCATGGTGAAACAAGGTTATTTATGATAATTTATAAAATTAAGGGATTTAATGTCAAATAAAAGTAAACTCCATGGTTTTCTCTAAAACAAACGAAGCAAAATAAGGCCCATCAAACTCTTCGACCTATTTGCTTTTAGAAAAGAATGAGAGCTACTGCCATGGCAGTGTGGGGGCAGCGATCTCCTCTCGTTCAGGCGATACGTCGAACGCTTTGCGTGACATCCCAAAATTGGGTCAATCAAATTGGGCTCCAAGGCTCCAACTTTCTCAGTAGCCAAACACCTCCGAGAAGATCTCCGGAGGAGACGAACTGTGGGTCGGAAAGTGAAGAAGCGCCCATCAAATGTCTATCCCTGAGAATCGAGAAGCTCCCGAGAGGCGTACCCGTTGGGTCTGCGTTCCAGAACTGGATGATGGAAGGGTTTCCAGTTCATCGCGGAGATGTTTTTCACGCCATTAATCGATTGAGGAAGCTCGAGATGAACAAACGAGCCCTTGAGGTTGAAATTCTCGCTTGCTTTCTCTCTTCATCTTTGTGTGCTCGATTCTTACCATAGATGAGGCATTTGTGGTTTATGTATTGCTCACTTGTGCTCTGCTTGAGATTTGCCGGCTTTGTCCACTTGGATTTGTCCTGCACTAATTTACCACCGTTCATCCGTCATTCTTGATTAGCTTTATCCTGGTTCCGATAATCCGATGTGTCACATTTCTAATGATTTCATTGTTTGAAGAACTTTGCTCGACAAACGGATTGTAAATCTCATTGCTCGTAACTGTCATGGGTAGATCGGTTGATCAATGTGACTTTGCCTTTGCTTATCAAAGCAGCAGACAAACTTTTAAGGTAGTTAGTAGGAGGCTTTCATTATTTGCTGTATTTGTTGTGTTCCAGTTTCTATATAACCGAATCGAGACCACTGCTTGAGTTTGAGCTTATTTGTTGTTGTTTGGTTAAGGTGATGGAATGGATAATCAGGGAAAGACCGTACCGGCTAAACGAACTAGAATACTCTTACTTGCTGGAATTCACAATCAAGCTCCATGGCATCTCGCAAGGTGAAAAGCTCTTTTGCCGCGTTCCCATAGAGTTCCAGAACGAGTTGCTTTACAACAACCTTGTAATTGCTTGCTTAGACAAAAGCGTCATAAGGCTTTCCCTCGAGTATATGAAGAAAATGAGGGAATTGGGTTATCGGATATCTTATCTGATCTTCAACCGACTTATAATTCTCAACTCCAGCCCTGGCCGGAGAAAGCTCATCCCGAAAATCCTCATGCAGATGAAGGCCGACAAGGTAACTCCTCATGTCTCCACATATAACATCTTGATGAAGCTCGAGGCTAATCAACATAACATCGACGGGTTGGTAAAGGCTTTCAATGATATGAAGAAAGCTCAAGTTGAACCAAATGAGGTGTGTTACTGTGTCTTGGCCATGGCACATGCTGTTGCAAGATTGTATACTGTTGCTGAAGCTTACACTGAGGCAGTCGAGAAATCTATGGTGGGGAATAATTGGTCAACCTTGGATGTATTGATCATCTTGTATGGGCATTTGGGAAAAGAGAGAGAGCTCGAAAGAACATGGACCATCGTAAAAGAACTCCCGAAGGTCAGGCCCAAGAGTTACTTGCTGGCAACAGAAGCATTTGGCCGAGTGGGGAATCTTCATAGAGCTGAAGAACTCTGGTTAGAAATGAAGAACTCAAAAGGGCTCATGGAAACTGAGCAATTCAATTCTCTACTGGCAGTTTACTGCAAGCATGGTCTGATTGACAAAGCATCTGGTGTATTTCGGGAAATAATGGGAAACGGATTGAAGCCTAACTCCATAACATTTAGGCATCTAGCTCTGGGCTGTGCTAAAGCCAATTTGATGATGGAAGCACTGAAGACACTAGAAATGTGTTCAAACCTCACGACGAGCAAAAGGGTCAGAAACTCTACTCCGTGGCTAGAGACAACACTATCGATCATTGAGTGTTTTGCGGAGAAGGGAGATGTGGATAACACCGAGAAGTTGTTTGAAGAGCTGAACAATGCAAAGTACAATAGGTATGCGTTTGTTTATAACGCTCTGATAAAGGCTTATGTGAAGGCCAAGAGGTATGATCCTAATCTTTTGAAGAGAATGGTACTTGGGGGAGCTCGGCCTGATGCTGAGACATACAGCTTATTGAAACTTCTTGAGCAGTTTAAAACCTGACTCGGGTATTGGTCATTTTACTCAATTTGTGCATATCATGGCCTCTCGGTGGTGAAACTGTTATTCTGGTTTTGATGGATTCTTCTGCCCATGAGCCACGGTTCAAACCGAAATCTTGTTCAGAGCTAATCATAGATTGTAAGAAGAGAGTTGTGTGTACATCAACCCTAACTGCAGCTTATCCTGTTTCAGTTACAGTATTATTGGAAAAACATAATCCACCACATCTACAAATATTAGATATACCCCAAACTTGAGGCATTTTGTCAGACATGGTCTTGGCAAAGAAAGAGTAATCCGCAGTATAACACCGAGAACGGAGCATTGAATGCATCAGAAGTGGTAGTGAAGGAACTGAGAAGCTGTTGCAAGAGCGCCTCCTGTAATAGCATTCACCACGACCTTGTCTTTGCCTTTGTTGCTTGCTGCAGTGACAATAGCTCCTGTCAGTGCCCCAGCTATCATGGCGTTCTTCTGAAACATTGACAGGAAAGAATTTAGTTCCCAGAGTAGAGGAAGCTAACTCAAGTATTACCCGGGCATAAAGATTCATGGAGCTGATGTTTCGAGACATCGGGATTGAATCCAAAGGTTTATACCCAGTCTCTGGTGCCGCGGATGCATTCGACTCCATACTCGGTTCCCATGTAAACCCCAGCTATGCTTCCTGATCATAAGTTGTTGGAATGTATGACTTCACAACTTGTTTTACTTTTGATTATTGTAAACTAAAAAACACATTTTTGACTAATTGAAGATGAAGTTATTACCCCAATATGCTCCTTCTTTGCACATATTTTTAAACTGCAACAATGGTTTTACGACAACATTAGAGGAACAGCAAGTGACGAATCCTTAATGTTCAATGAACTAAAACACATTACTCACCGCATGCTCCACATTGTTCCGGGAAATACTCCCTACGACGAAAGAAACCACAGAGTCAAAAGTAATGAACTGAACTATCTGATAAAAGAATTCGGCAGGAACGTAAAAGAACTCATCGTTCACTTGGTTATATACTTGTAGCCAATGCAGCAGCACCATTTCTACACGATCTCATATCACTCCGAACCAGAAGCCATCGAATCAAGTGAGAGAAACAAAACCAGATTCATATTTTGTGTCCGAAACCCGAGTTTAAGAACAGAGACCAAACACAAACACTGTGTATATACTTTGTCTATGTTGTATAAAGTAGAGAGTTTTGAGTACCCTTCTTGACGACATGGTAAGCATCTTCCGCGAGAGCTCTCGTGGCTCCAACCTGAACCAGAATCATCAAACCCCAAAAAGACGGCTTCGTATAAACAGAGATATTGACACTAAAAGAAGACAAAACCAGAGAAAAGACGCAGATTTCCGGAGATTTATTACAGCTCCGATCTTGAGGAAGCCATCGACAGAGAGGTTGAGAAGAGGATTTCCCATGTCGATTGAGACGTTCACCTTCGGCGTTTTCAGGGATCCTGCGAAACTGCTCGTCGGCATTTTCCTTGGCTGGTACTTTCTCGCTTTTTTTGTCGAGTGATCGAAGTGAGACTTTGTCGATGGGAAAGATGTGAGTGTAAAATGACGTAAATGACCCTAAAATGGCGAAAGGGAAGGCGACATTGGAGGTCACATCCCGTGATCGTCCCGGCAACGGTTGCCGCTTCTTCAGCCATCTCTTTCACTGTGCTCTCCTTTGTCTTCGTCTTAATCGTTACATTTTCTTTTCTCTTAGACCCCTCTACTTTATAAACTTTAGATAAGTATCCCCTGTATTTGACTTTTCGATCACCTTGCGACTTGGGTTCATACGTGTTACCAATTAATTTCACTCCGCTTAACAACAAACAACAGAGAAAGAAACGTGGCTTTTAGAGACCAGATTAGTTAGAATCAACACTTTGATCCGGGAAATATCAAATTTCACCGACAAAAATGATTTCTTGATACATTGAAGACAACAAAACACACAAAAACCTATTTCTTTATGCATTATTCCGAATTCAAAACAAGGAAAATACACAGCAGTCCGCAGTTGATTGAGCAGAGAATCAAAAGTGAAGTGATGGAGGCTGCATAACCAGAGGAATTTATACTATTCTCGAATGCTTTCCTCCAAGAAAACAGGGAAAAACGTGAACACTGAAAACCCACAGAACCCACTGAGCATAGATACAATACCCTTACTCTCAGATTTAATTTAAAATCACCCACTGCATATAGCAACAAAGATTCCAGTACATATCACCAAAAGGGTCGAACCCAGATAGCTCAAATTCAGCAAACACATCACTCCGCACGACAGAATGGGCTTAAGTTTTTTAAACGGGGAAACGATACAAATGACAGGGACTTACTTCACAAAGCTCTCTCTACTCATCATCTCTGTGATGGCGCTTCCTGCTCTTCTTCTCAGACCTCTTAGAAGAACCCCTTCCAGAGCGTGGGTCGTCGCCACCAGAGACATTGGCATCAGAATCAGAAGAAGCTGCCACCTTGCTCCTCCGCTTTTGGCGCCGATCACCACTGTCCTCTGAATCAGATTCATCTGAATAGTTACGGCGGCTTCTCCTTCGCCTCTTCTCCTTCCTACTTTTTCTCCTGTGGCGCCTTCTCTCCTCCTCTTCCTCCGAAGACTCTTCATCATCCCTCTTTCTTCTTCTCCTCTCCTTCCTTCTCTTGCTTCTATTCTCATTCCCATCGTCTGAATCACTAGCACTCCTCCTCTTGTGAGATCTCCTCTTCTTTGACCTCTGCCTTCTCTTCCTATCTCCTGAATCGGAATCTGATTCATCCGATGAATCAGAATCCCTCTCCTTTTTCCTCAATGATGATTTCTTCTTGCTACTCCCCTTCTTCCCGTACCTATCCGCGATAATTTTCTCAATCTCCGAATCAACATCAGAATCAGAACTCTCGCTCTCATCCTCCTCCTCTTCACTACTCTCGTCTGCCTTCATCGCCCCACCCTTACCAACACTGCTCTTGATTTTCTCCAAACCTGACATAACAGCAGCATCAATCGCTGCAGGATCTTTCTCTTTATCCTCCTTAACACTAAGAAAGTTCCTACACTGAAACGTCAAGTGCCCAACACGGCCACACTTCTTGCAAGCACCACGAGCCTCATCATTGTTTGACCCGGTAATACGGGCAAGCGCCAAAAGACCCTGGAAGCTCGCATATGCATTCTCAGGATCTGCGGATTTCTGCTCAGTGCTCTTCGACTCATCTTTGTTGGTGGGAGCGTATGGATCATATCCGATAGCACTCTGCCATATACCGTGGGTCTGCAAAGCTGCACTACTATGCACCCGATTGTTAGCGGGCATACGAACCCTTCCTGCAGTCGCCGGCATCTTCTCGAAACCCTAAAATTTAACCCTTTTCTGTTGTTCGATAACCTGTAAGCGAAACCCTAAAATGTCACAATCCGAAGAGAAGTAAAAGATCCTACCGAACCAGAATCACCTCAAACTAATCCCTCGAATTCACGATAACGACTAAACAGAAAGGTAGGGAATTTCAATCCAAAATAATCAAAAACCAACTAAGACTGCTTCCGAAGAATCAAATAGAAAGAAGCGGAAGAAAAGTTTACCAGATCTGATGGAAGAACCCTAAGCGAGGAGCTCTTGCTGAATCTCTTGTGGTGAAACTCTTGCCGAATCTCTCCTCTGATCCGAGAGAGAGAGACCCGATTGTTTACCAAAAAAGAGAGAGAGACCCGATACCCCAACTTTTTCTCGTATTTTAATTTCTTTAATGTGAAATTGAAATATAGACGCCGCCTTGAATTATTTTCCTTTTTGTAGACCGCCTTTAATTATTTTCCTTTTAGCAGATTCGCCCCCACATTGCTGATTTGTTTCATTTAACCCAAAATATTTATTTTAAATAATCGAAAAAACAATGACTGTATTTTTGGGGATCATTATCGAATACGGAATATCCAAATTAACCAAGTGAAGAAAACAGCGCATACGCTTAATTTAAATTTCAGTTCGTTTTGTTTATTTAAGAATTACTTACGCTCTGAACACGTGCTTAAGCTCAGCTGTGTAGCATCCTTTAACAGAAATAATTAATTAACTATTAACTATTCATTTAATCCCTCCCGCTCAACAAAAACTAAATGCGTTAATCAGTTTCTGCATTTCTTCAGACGATCACTCAGCCTTCTCCCGTGTGTATAAAAATCACTGAAAATCCTTAATCTGATCAATCACTTCACCAGAAACCCAGACAAATCTGATCCGATTCGATCGAATTTTCAGAAGAAAAAAACCAACCCAATTCTACTCAAATTCATCAAAGATGGAAACGAGTTGCTGCGGGGATTACGCGTCCGTACCTCCGACGAATCTCGTCACGGCGATGACGACGATGACGGCGGAGGCGACAGCGACGGTGCCGGAGAAGGAGTCGATCGCGATGGCGATGCTCTTTGTCGTGTTCATCGTCCTCTTCTACGGGTCGATATTCGTCCTCTGCTTCGTAATGTACCCGAAGTTGCCAGAGGAATCCGACGGAGACGAGGAATCCGGCGACCGGCTGCCGGCGTCGGAGAGGTTCGGCGCGAGGGCGATGGCGGAGGTGTGCGTGATATGCTTGGAGGATCTAAAGAGAAACGACATCGTTAGGGTTCTGGTAAAATGCAAGCACGTTTTCCACGTGCGGTGTATAGATTCATGGTGTTTGTATCGGTTGGCTTGTCCGATCTGCAGAGCTCCGTTCCGGCTGTTCGATGCCTGGTAATCACACAATCTGGTAGTGAGAGAGAGCTTTAGGGTTCGTGTTCGGTCCGAACTGTAAATTTTTATCGGAATCTTTGTAAAGTTTAAAATTTGATTCGGTCTCTCGAATCGAAACGTTTGTGTGTATAGATGTATATAGAGGGAGAGAGAGAGATGAATGTATATTTGCCGTAGTTTTTGATACGGCTCGGTTCCTAGTTTACTTGTAATACGTAGAAATATACGGAATAAAATGATTGTGATTGGGGATAATAGTATTATACGATTGTGTCTAGACCGGTGTAGCTGTTGTAAATAGGAAAAATTACGGGATAAAGCTCCCGGTTAATTAAATTGGAATGAGCGTTTCAATGTAAAATTAACCAAACAAAATACTATTCATTATATCGGTAAGGGATTTATTTGATTTTACTGTTTTTTTTTTTTGTTATTTTAAGGTATTTTTGCCATCTGGTATTCTTATATATATATATATATCGTGTATTTAGAAATAAATAGGAATTTAATAGGAATTTGTATAGTTAGGGTTTTGAAAAACAAAATCTATAATCCTGGTATAATTTTCCTTTGACAGAAAGGAAATATCTATCCTTGAAAATCGGAGTCATATAGTTTCCTTTTTCTTTCATGCAAAAGCGCCTATTTAAAACGGGATTAGGGCACATAATCACTTCACGTACTCTCTTTTGTCTCTCTATCTCTCTAATCGATCGCCATGGATTATTTGTGGATTCTCTCTTCAGTGGCCACCGTAATGATCTACACATGCTGCTATTGGTACTGTTACTACTTCCCATGCAGACCTCGAGCCAACCAAACGGAGGAATCCGACTACGACATCGAGATGGGTCTTCCTCTCCCGACCCATCATTCTCCGACACGTTCTGTTCCGGTTCCAGTTCATGAGATCACTCCAAGGATGATCCACCAGTTCAAAGACGTGGGAGAAGATGAAGAAGCCAGCAGCTGCACTTGCTGCCCGATCTGTCTAGAAGAGTATGCGCCTGAAGATAAGGTTGTCCGTCTGTCCAAGTGCAAGCACGTTCTCCATCCCGACTGCATCGGTCCGTGGCTCCAAAAGAACCCCACCTGCCCCAACTGCCGCAGCTCTGTTAGCGGCGAAGACTGGTGCGTGATGAACAAGGACGAAGAGTACGGTCCAGAAGAAGTCACGGCCGAGAATCTTGTCGAAGATGGCGGTGAACAAGTTCGTGTTTTGGCCTGATGATTAGTCTCTTGTCTAGTCTGTTCATACGTATTCGTATATCTGTTGGTATTGAGGGCTTCCGTCGCAGCCCAATCTGCAACACCCCGGCCCATGTGATATTACGCTACTGCCACTGCTTTGCCTTGAATTTGCACCAACACTATATAAAAACACAAAAGAATCAGAAAAATTATTAAGAATATGCATTTTTCTTAATAAAAGTCGAAATTGAATTGAACCAACCCGGATGTAATATAATAATCGATTTGTACACGGTTTTTATAAAATCGAATAAACCGAACCCAACAAATATCGTACCGAACGCGCGCTCTCACAGATTACAACGGGGAATCTGCCCGATTCTCAACAACGCAGGAACACACATGTACAAGAAATCAAAGGGATATCAGCCTGGGAATTTAGTTCTTTTGTTGCCTCTCAAGAATTTGGAAGAATCTAATAACCCTCTGAAGGATCTTGAAGAATTCCATATCTCGCGTCAACATCTCAGTGTTATCTTCCGTTGAAGCATCCGTGGCTTTTTATAGCCAAAGATAACAGATTTCTTGTTCTTGATCTTGATCTCTTCTTCTGAAAAGATTATCAAACCCTATTTCCATAAAGATAACTGAAGGTTCTTTCCCAACAAAAAAAAAAAGAAAAAAAAAGAGTTCATCCAATTCAATTTAGTTGACGTTTTAGAATAAAATTTTTGTATCAAAATAAATGACGTTTTCAGATTTTCAATATAATTTTTAATAATTTTTTCAAATTTATCCCTAATTAATAGTACTTAAACTACATATTTTAAAAAATATTTTTTATATAATAAATAAGGATATTTTGGACAAACCATTATTTTTTTTAATCTGTGTGTTTAATTCTTAAACGACATCTAAAACTAGGGAGTAATATTAATTGAATATAATTCGGTCCTTTTGTTCGTGTATGTTTGAACAAAGAATGATCCTAGACAGCCAACTTGCTTGAGGGCATGGGGGAATATTTGTCATTCTTTGTATTAGGCGCCACAAGTCATCTTACATGTATGTGCCTTTGGTCATACGCAGGTCTCGTGTTCATCGTCCTATATATATATATATATATATATATATATGTATATGTATATGTATATTCATGCAGATAAATACAAAGATACTATATTTTACATATATAGAAAATTTTGGCTTAACCCAAGTGGGGTGGCTTGGTGGTTGGATAGTACAAAGTCCTTCTACTCAATCCAAGTTCAAATCCCATTGGATCAAATATTATCAAAAAAAAAAATGGCTTCATCAAAAGTCAAAAGCCTTTTCCTTTTTTTTTTAGTTTTATCAAAAGAAATTGATAAAGATGTTTCATCAATTTATGTATCCGATAAAGTTAATTGAACTAATAAAAAGGATTCTAAGTCTACTTCGATAGATTTGATTTCGAATTATATTCTAAATGCGAATCATACAGCATATTATTAAAAAGATTACATATATATATATATATGTGTGTGTGTCACTATAATATACATAAACCCGTATCATAATGTTGATATTATATATGATCGTCACAATCAATATATATAATAGGTTTGTATATTTTTTACTATGCTTAAAAAATATTCCCTCCGTTTCGTAATAATTGGCATTTAAAACTTAAACACACAAATTAATAAAAATAATATTTTGTCCAAAATATCTTTATTTATTGCATAGAGAATTATTATTCAAAATATTTTAAATATTATTAGTCATAAGTAAAATTGAAAAAAAAAATTAAAAATTACATAGAAAAACTCTCAAACATAAAAATTGTTCCAAAACGTTATGAGATGGAGGGAATATAGTTTTTGCACATCTCGATTAATCGTTAGTTGTTATTATATGGCTTCCTAGATTGTTTAGGAAAACGTTCCAAAAAGTTTTTCTAGGGCTGAATCGTATAGTGAGAAAGCTCTTAATGACACTTAATTAGTTATGATAGTATAATTAAAGTGCTTAATTAGCCTTTTCTAAACTAAGCCCGAAATATTCTATCCTAAATATTTTATTTTCCAAATAAGTAGAGATGGATGGCGAAAGATGGGTCGATTTCTGATGATATTTATAATATATACAAAATTCGAAACATAGTAATTACTAATTATGGTTTACCATCACACACAAATTTAAAAGTGAAAAAAAATCTATCATGTAAAATGATTTTGTGCCTATCAATATTTACTATTATATAAATTAAGGAATTAATTAGGGAAGAAAAAAAAAATCTAGAAGGTTTATAATTTGCTCTTCTATTTTTGAATTACGTTCAATTTAAATTTATCTATTATTATTCATCATTATGTTTAAAATTGAAAAATGTAAAAAGAAATAACAAATAGTAAAGGCGAACAATAAAATAAAGATAATCTAGTGGAGCAGAGTTCGGATATCGAGAGGGAGGGGGAAAACGGCGGAGCAGACAGGGCAGGAGCGATGTCGCGACAGAGAAGGAGCGATGCACCGAACGTGGAAGATATGGCTGCAGATCGTCCTGAGCACTCCCTCTTCCCACGCGAACCCTAGTTTACAGACGGAACAACATTCGCCGCCGCCGCCTTCGACAATCTCCGCGGTAGGAGCAAGCATCGGCACCAGCTCCTGCCCTTCCTCATTCGCCGCGATCGAGAACCTCCACGGTCTGTTGAGAACCAGCAAGAGATCGTCATCGGTGGTCTCACCGATCATTTCCGCTTCACGCTGACGACGAACACGAGACCGGGAGACGCGGGAGGCACGGCCTGCAGATCTCGAAACGAGAAATTGCAGAGCAGATAGTCGACGATCTGATCCGCCATCCGATCGGATGTCCTGTAAAGGATGAAATTCCCATCGAGAGCATCCTTGATTATCAACGACAAGGCGCGTCTCCTTTGGGCTCTCGGCAGAGGAAAAGGATTTAACCTGACGGACCCACCGAATACGATGGCGATGACTCCGACACCGGATTCTTGTGAGAGATGCGGCGTCTTCCACTTGTACACTCTCACGCATCGCAACCCAATCCCAGTTGTCGACATTCTTCGCGCCGCCGCTTTCGTTTTCTTCTCTCTTACTCCTCGCCTCGCCCTCTTAACCTTATAATATTAGGATTTTTTTTTCCTTCTCCCACGCTTAAAAGGATTAGGGCTTTTCATTTTTCCCACTTCTAATGATATTTAGTCTCTCTTTTTTCCTATTTTAGTAAAGTTTATTATATTTTCTATATTTTAATCTATTTAATAGCTATTCCTTTTTCTCGTTTCCATTGTTTAACAGCATTATTTATTGGTTTTTTATTAAAATAATAATAAATTATATGAAAAATGATAAAATTTATCAAAAATGTTCTCACCACTTTGTTTTTCCTAATTTTATTTTAAACCATTATTATTTAGTTTTATCATCATTTCTTCATAATTATATCTTTTTTTTAGTTTATATATTATTGTATATCTTTTTCTTATTGTATTATAAATAAATAAATAAATAAATATCATCATCTAAAGTAACAATAAATTTTATTAAAAGTAATTGTATTTTGTTAAATCTGAGAGAAGAATTAAACTGATTCTATCAACCCAAAACTATTAGCAGGGAGGAAATACATGTAGACGTTATTATCAATGTTTAGCTTAATTCCCATCAAATATAGGATCAGTGGAAAATTTAAATATGATAATAACAAGACTGAGGATTATGCGTTTATCAGAAAAAAAAAAAAAAGATATGCATAAAGCGAAGCGAGCGGCGACGGTTCCTTCGCGATCTCGCTCCGAGAATCCTGGTAACTTTCTTATCTTCAATTTTTTGATTGGATTTCAGACTTAGAAAAATTCGCCTAACGTTATCAGCTGCTGCTTTGATCAATTAATGGATGTTGTAAGAAACCAAGACGAATTGAAAGAGCAAAAGAAATGAGCCATCACTGAACTGTGCGAGGACATAAGAAGAAGAAGAACTGCTTGAATCAATCATATATATATATATATATATGTATGTATGTATGTATGTATGTATGTATGTATTTATGTATGTATGTATGTATGTATGTATGTATGTATGTATGTATGTATGTATATGTGGGTTCTGTAACATGAGGAAATTAGACAAGACATTGTATCTATTCAAGGATTTAAAATCAGCCTGTTAGAAAAAGATATTGTCTTCGAAACTTTAAAATAGCTTAATTAGGGATACCGGTCCATCTCTTTCAGTATATAGTATGGCTTTTAGAGCAAAAAAAATAATAATAATAAAGGCGTTGTATATATTTGTGTATATCTTATCTTATCATTTTCGTTAGTAATATTTATTGAATATAATTGGGTCCTTTTGTTTGTACATGTTTGAACAAAGAATGATCCAAAACACCCAACTTGTTTGAGGGTATTGGGGAATATATGCCATTCTTCGTATTAGGCACCACAAGTCATCTTACATGTGCCTTTGGTCATACGCAGGTCATACATACATACATATATATATATATATATATGTATGTATATGTATATGTATGTTCATGCATATAAATACAAAGATACTATGTTTTATATGGAAAAACTTTGGCTACATCAAAAGTCAAAAAAAGCTTTCCGTGAATGAGGTGGTTAGACTTTGTATAATCCCATCATTAGGAAGAGACAAGCATCATTGAAATTTGGCATCTCACAACTTAATCATACATATGGCTCCTCACAAGTCAACTCACCTTTGACTATTTCCAGTCAACGACCAAGGTACATGTGACCTGTACGGCTAAACCCTCCGTGGACACTTGACAGATTTGTTTGACATTTCACTTAACCTCGTTTGACTTTTCAATCCTTCAAGTTCAACTGATTTATCATAATGATGTTTTTTGGTTAAACAATTCTCTCGGTACATGAAGTATATATCTAAAAATAAACATGTTTCAACTTAATCATAGAGTATATATTTACGTGTCCCATAAAACTAATTGAACTGATCTGCTGTATACAAAATATTATTAAAAAGATTATATGTATGCTACTATAATATACGTAAACACACGTATCATAATATATATTTTTTATAACGAGAAGATTTACCGGACCTTCCGTCCACTTAATCCCGTGAACTCAGACTCACTCTGTAGTCACGTAATTAATTGTGTCCCTTCTCCCCATTAGTAGAATTGAATCCATGATTTTGTCATCTTTTAACTATTGAGTCATCAATTAATAGGTCATATATAATGTTGATATTATATATGATTGTCACAATCTATATATATATATATATATATATATATATATATAACAGGTTTGTATATTTTTTTACTATGCTTAGATTTTTTTTTTGCACATCTCGATTAATCGTTACCTTTTTATTATTATCTGGCTTCTGGATTGTTTAGGAAAACGTTCCAAAAGGTTTTTTCTAGGGCTGAATCACTTAAAAAGTGTTACAATGTTACTTTTCGTGTAGTGGAAGAAAACTCTTAATAACACTTAATTAGTGATGGTACTATGATTAAAGTGCCTAATTAGCCTTTTTCTAAACCAAGCCCGAAATATTCTATCCTAAATTGTTTCTCTCTCGATAATATCTACGGACCATTTGCTCTTTCGTGTTCACCGGTTTCTCTAACAAAAGCATACAAAAATTTATTAATTATTTATACTAAGCATCTATATCCCTTTATTCTCATTTACTGTTAACCTCTATGAATCTCTTAAACAAAAAAAATCTATAATGTATACATTTAAAATTTTCACCTTTTTATTAAGAATTAAGTTCGGGACACTTATCTAAATTAAATAATCAAATAAATATTTTATTTTCTAAATAAGTAGAGATGGATGACAAAAGATAGATTGATTTATGTTGATATTTATAATATATATATAAAACTCGAAACATACTAATTATGGTGTACGACCACACACAAGTTTAAAAGTGATCCATCCTGGGTACTGGTGAAATGAGAGTGCAAAACACTTGTCTCGCCCCAAGTTCGAAACCCAGAATGGGGAGGGGAGTGAATATTTTAAAACACATGACTTGTTCCCGGTCCGGAGATTAGTCTGGGCTTCGGCCCAAGACGCTCCGTTAAAAAAAAAAAAAGTTTAAAAGTGAAAAGACAGTCCATCATGTAAAATGATTTTATGTGCGTAACAATATTAACTATTATATAAATTAAGGAATTAATTAGTGAAGCAAAACATTCTAGAAGGTGAAGTGAGAAGGGAGGGAATTTTCTAGGATGACAGCTGCTTGACAGCCGGTTGGTCACGGGCAAGTGAGCGAAGCCGAGTCGCGAAGGAGCCGCGTAAGCCGATGCGGTGTCATGAGGACTTGTCTCTGTGGGTCCCACATTTGGTCTTTGCGAGTCCGAAGCAAAAGTCAAACGGTCGGGCAATCACGTTCACACTCTGCCGGCTATAATTAAAACCAGCAAACCAAATTTCATATCATTTGAAATATAAATCTATATTCGAGTTTCAAGTTTGTAAATTGTATAAAAATGTATTTCGTCAACTACAACGTTAATGTGATCTATATATAAAATTTTTTATGTCTCTGATATACTTATATACATTCATTGATTAAAAAAAATTAACATAAGAAAATTCATGATAATAAACACAAATTATAGTGGAATTCAATTAAAATGTGTTGACGATATGAAACAAAACGGTTATTCTGTTTGTTTTTTATATTATAGTAAGTTAGGATATAAAAGTATATTATATTTTATAAACTATATTAGGCGATATTCTAAAAACTTTATGCTGACCTAAGATAGATAGTAATTTCTATTTTTTTTGTTTTTATTTTTTTTTCACAAGTAATGAATTGTGTTTTATACAGATTTTTTTATGTTGTAATTAACATAACACTTGTGAATGTGACTAAGTTTTTGTATGTATCTCACTTACTTGCAAAATTGGTTGTATAATTCAAAACTGCAATTAACTATATTTGTAAATCATTAACCAAATCCATAATTGTTTTAGCAATCTTAATTATGTCTCTAAATATGCACACCAAAAATTTATGACCACGACGTCAGAATTTTCTTTTAATAAAACCCATGCAATTCCAGATTACATAAAAGAAACATGCGACCATTTCTCTTAGATCTCGTGAAATCCTCGTTACTACTAACACGTACAAAAGTTTTCCAATCATATAAAAATAACGGTACAAAAATGCCAATTTTTTTTTTTTGTTAACGTACAAAAATACCAATTTCACAAACGAAGTAATGACAAATATCACAGATTTTATCACTCAGACGTTACAATATATATATATATATATATATTACAAGAAAAGGTATATTGAGTTGGTTGGGGGGATCATGTCACGGGCATTGTTTGATTCAATATTTTAGAACAATTTGTATCGATTTACAGCCATTATCAACATGCCTTTTTGCAATTTGCGTTATTTTATCTTTTTTTCCATGTTGACTTTAATTTAAAAGTGAACTGAAAACTCATGATTTCTAATATATAAACTAGAATTGATTATGTTTTGTTAATCTACAAGAAATCCGCAAGCAAATTCAATTTTTAAGTTTAAAACTAAAAATTTTAAATACTGAACACAATTTTATTACCAAAGTATTAAAAATTTAGGATGGTAAAAGAGTCGTATATTTCAATTTGAAAAATGAATGCATGCATGCATCTTGCACCGTAAGAAAATTAAATATTTCATAAATACATAAACCAGAAAAATAAAATGCAATTAATATAAGTATCCATGCATGTGCATTATGAAGCAAAAGGAAATTTTATGTCACATGAAAAGTTTGCAAAAGCAAGCAAGAAAAGTAATTTTCTACGAATATTCAATTCAGCTTATCTTATCAATTATCAGGACAATGAGGATATCTCGACGTCCGATATTGATACTCTAATTTGGGAAAATTGTTAATATTTTATTTTAAAAGATTGAGAACGAAATTTATTTTATCTCAAGAGTTATTGAAATTGAAAATCTTGTAATAATCGAGTTGACAATACGTATAATAGGTATTTTATAAAGAGAAAATGGTCTATAAAATATTTAATTTTGTCCAAAAGTTCAATATATAAATATCATTTTTTTAAAATTTTAAAATATAAAATATTTTTAAAAATTTATATAAAAAATTAATTATCTAAATTTGTTTATGTATACCTACTTATCTTTAACAGCTTTAAGTACTCGACTGATAATGTTATCAACGTCTTACATTTTCAAAACGAAGATATTGTTAGACTATAACGTTACACCAATATAATTTTTAAAAAGAATTAAATTTACAAAACATATGTATATGTACATATATAGGTACATGTATGTATTTATTTGTATGCATATGTAAATCTATGTATATATTTGTGTTTGGTTGTGTATATATATATATGTATAAAACACGTATAAAATAATAATAATACACCTTAAAACATACTATACTATACTATATAATGAGAGGCAAATGGAGCCGAGCCGAGCCGAGCCGATATAGTGCATCGAGAAGTGCAATGTGAAGGAAGAATCCAACGGCTGAGAACGATTTAACACCCGGGGGAGGCTCATCCTTTCTGACTTCTCCAACCAAAAGAAAAAGGAAAGAAGGAATTTTGATTTTTGAGATAGGAAGCTCGATTACGATGAAAATATAATTAAATGAAAAATAAATTGAAAATTTTTAAAAACAGAGAGAGACAAAAAAAAAAAAAAAGGCAGAGATGGGCTTAAAGGCGGGATCATCCGCCATTAATGCCACCTCCCAACCCCTCTTCCTCTACATAAGCTATTTTCGGCTAAGTAACAGTTCCCATTAACCATACAAACCCCGCTCTCTCACTTTCTCTCTACTGTTTCTGGGCGAAGATTTTCATTATTTGTTTGAAAAAAGGGGTGAGGAATTTTTCTTCGTTCCCTAGTTGGTGGGTTATCTTGCTTCTTGTGGTTCTATAATCGTGTTTCCCACCAGAAAAAGTTGATGGGTTTCATCATAATTTTAGATTCTGCATATACTTCGGGCAAAAAGTTGTAAAATCTTTTCTTTTTCATATATTTTTCACCCACAAGTGGATCTGTTTCTGTCTCGCTTTTGTATTTGATATAACAGCCTTTATAGCTTCTGTAATTTTGTTTTTCTTTTTCATGATGAATAGGAAGAGGTTGTTTAGCTTTGGTTGTCTGAAGTTCTCTGAGCTCAACCATGGGGGTTTGCTTGAGTGCCCAAGTCAAAGCTGAGAATCCAGGTAAGACAGAGTTTCATGTTTTTCTTTTCATTCATAGACTATGATTACTGATAAAAAAATAATTCTGGAATATTGGATCTACTCTTTTGGTAAAAAGAACATTCTGGTTCAGTGTGAATCCTGTCCCCTCGCTTGTTTTGTTTGGCCATGAGGGCAAAGCTCTTGCTTTGCTTATCTTCCTGGGTTTTTAATGTTTTTTTTAGTTGTGTCAAAATTGTAGCTTTCCCCTTTTCCCCTGTCATGACAGCATTGGGTTTTTCAACTTCGAAAAGTTAAATTTTGTTGTTTCTTTCTTTGATATTTCCTTCCATGAAAGGTTAGGTTCTGGTGGTTGGGAAATAACGGGGCTTTGCTTCTAAGTTAGGCATCATGTTTTGACAAATCTGCCCATGTTTCAGATTATCAATCTTTTCTACAGTTGAGCACAATAATGCATTGATTAGTTTGATTTCTTACCTTTCTGATTCAGACCACATGATTCCTGTTCTCATTTAAGTTCCAAATCCTTCCCAAGGACACAGCAATCCATCAAGGCAAATGGGTGCCGGGAAAAATGTGAAATTTAACGTTTTTTCGTATACAAACTACATCTTTGGTGGGTGTGTAGGAGCGAGTCCAAAGCACTTGAGCTCAGACGGGAACGACACTGGAAGTTTGGGCAGCAAGGCTTCGTCCATGTCGGTTCGCCCTACTCCGCGAACAGAGGGTGAGATCTTACAGTCACCAAACCTCAAGAGTTTCAGCTTCTCAGAGCTCAAAACCGCGACCAGGAATTTCAGACCGGACAGTGTGCTCGGGGAAGGAGGTTTCGGTTGCGTTTTCAAAGGATGGATCGATGAGCAAACCCTCACCGCCACAAAACCGGGCACTGGTACGGTTATTGCCGTCAAAAGGCTTAACCAAGATGGTTGGCAAGGTCACAAGGAGTGGTTGGTAAGCTTTCTCATGGCTGTTTCTTTGTCCGGTTCTTGACGTTGTCTTAACTTCGAAACCTCTTGATCATCATCATCTGAATACCGAGTCTTGTCTCAACTCGTTTCTGCAGGCTGAAGTGAATTACTTGGGGCAGTTTTCTCATCCTCATCTCGTGAAGCTGATCGGTTACTGCCTGGAGGATGAGCATCGACTTCTTGTCTACGAGTTCATGCCTCGGGGAAGCTTGGAAAATCATCTTTTCAGGAGTATGTTCTTCTGTCTTGTCTGAATCTCGAGATGCCCATCAAACTAATACCTTTGTGTGTGTGTGTATATATATACACATATTCTCAACATTCGGGTTGTTTCTGGCTCGTAGGGGGTTCATATTTCCAGTCCTTGTCTTGGAGTCTCCGGTTGAAAGTGGCTCTCGGTGCTGCAAAAGGCCTTGCTTTTCTTCACTGTGCTGAGACAAGAGTGATATACCGCGACTTCAAGACTTCAAACATCCTTCTTGACTCGGTAATTCATCGTTTTCTCACCTTCAGTTATCTGATTCTCATGACAAAGATGGCAAAGTTCCAAGCTTTATGATGAAAAACCACCAGGACTACATTGCCAAGCTTTCTGATTTTGGATTGGCCAAGGATGGGCCAACAGGCGATAAAAGTCACGTCTCTACCCGGGTCATGGGTACCTACGGTTATGCAGCTCCAGAATACCTCGCGACTGGTAAGTTTCAAATCCTTTCCTGACCTTTTGTCTCTCTAATGGATTCCTTCTTCGGCTCACTCTGCAGTTTGGCAGGTCATCTGACAACCAAGAGCGATGTCTATAGCTTTGGGGTTGTTCTTTTGGAGATGTTGTCTGGACGGCGAGCTGTTGACAAGAACCGGCCAGCCGGAGAGCACAATCTCGTGGAGTGGGCCAAACCATATCTTGCCAACAAAAGAAAGATGTTCCGGGTTATCGACAGCCGTCTTCAAGATCAGTACTCCATGGAAGAAGTATATAAGGCAGCTACTCTGGCGCTGAGATGCCTATCCACTGAAGTTAAGCTCAGACCAAACATGAAAGATGTTGTCTCGCAACTGGAACAGATCCGAGCTCTTAATGCCTCCAGTGGAAATCCCGAGAGAAGGGAGAGGAGAGCACGTCGGAGAAGCACAGACAGCGTTATCACCAAGAAAGCAAAGGTTGGCTATTTTGCTCAGCCGTCTCCCATGGCTGCTTCCGTTGCCGCTTATCCTCGCCCATCTGCTTCGCCGCTGCATTTCTGACAAACATAAAAACATGCGGATCAGTGTTCTTGGTGAAACCATTGCAAGGTGTTTAGGGTTTCCTAATCTTGTATAGTTTTTTTGTCTATTAATGCATCCGAGAGATTGTGAAGATTCATTAGCTTAAGCGTAAATCTACTTTCCCGCCTTCATGAACATGTTTATCCAGTTTGTTTATCTAATTTACTTTGGTGCTTTCTTTCTAATATCCTGGTTAGAATAAGGAAAAATAAAATATAACCAAGAAAAGATTGAGCCTTTCACAAAATATATACACCCATTTACACAACAAATGATCCAAGAATAACAAGGAGGAGCTTAACATTTGTACATTCAGTTTCAGTTTCCTGAATAACATTTTCTTTTCTTCAAGTTAAATAGAAAGAGTTTTTCTTCACCAAGTTCTTATCAACCCAGGCATCCGGTGACGCCAGTCGATTTTCGCCAGTGACTTGTTCAAGTTAACTTTGTCCTTAATATCGAGAACCTTCCTCAGGTAGTTACTTCCTTGTCTAATCGACTCGGGTTCACTCTCTCCATCCACTTGTTCTCGAATATCTTCTGTTTCACCAACAGGAGTTAAAGCACTCTCTACATCACACAAGGCTTCATCAATGATGTTTCCAAGAACTGTGACCACTTCGCTCATTCTGGGCCGAGATTTTGGTTGCTTCATCAGACATCTGTTTGCCAAGGCAGCCAGTTTCTGGGCAGACTTCAGGCAGTACTGGCTCTCGAGTCGTGGATCTACAATGATATGGAATTTCTTTGAATCTGATACGTAAGGTCTCGCCCATTCTAGAAGCTTCTGCTCTCCTCGAGGTAGATTTCTGTCCACCGCTCGCCTTCCCGTGATCAGTTCATACAACACAACTCCGAAGCTCCAAACGTCGCTCTTAGCTGTCAATTTTCCGGTTTGTACATACTCTGGAGCAGCGTAACCAACAGTACCTACAACCTTCCACAGGAAAATTTCAAGAATTCAGTGGACTAAGCAGAGCAGATCCAAAAAACATGCGCAATCATGAGCTACTTGTCACAAGATGTTATGGTATCGAAGATAAAACACATACTGATGTAGAGACATGCCCAAGTCCTTCTGGAGGTCCCTGCCTAGCTAATCCGAAATCTGAGAGCTTCGCATTGAATTCCTTGTCTAGCAGGATGTTTGAAGACTTGAAATCTCTAAAAATTAGCTGCAACATTTATACAAACAACTCAGTGTGCATATGTATGTAACAATCAGGAAAACCGATGGCACTGTTCCATCAGTGAAACTGGAGCAAGATATAAACGGAGAGTGCTCCTTCCATAAGCAAAGCTTAAAACTTTGATAAGGAAAACGAGGGAGAAACCTGAAAATCCATTTCTTCGTGAAGATATGCCAAGCCCTGAGCAGCATCTTGAGCAATCTTCAACCTTGTCATCCATGGAAGAGAAGCAGGCACTCGGCTCAACAAATGGTCTTCCAAGCTTTTGTTGCACATAAGCTCGTAGACTAACAGCCGTTGCATCCCTCTTTCATCGTCATCTGCACAATACCCGACTAACTTCACAAGATTTGGATGATCTACTATCCCCAGAAAATTCACCTCATTGATCCATTCCTTGTGACCCTGAATGCTAGAATGCAACCACAACAGAGGTTTACCACAAGAAAACACATGCCAATGAACATAGAACCAGGAAGATACATTCCATCCTAATCATCACACCATATTAACATCAATCAAGCCTGTAAGACCAACCTACGTCCCGCCTTCTAAATTCATCGTTTTTCGGCTGCGAACCAAAGCTACATATCCAGCAAAACGTAACCATTCATTTTCAATGGAACATTGCTTTGCTGATGAAACTCTATATAGACCCGGTGATCACAGGGCAAAGTCAGAGGGACAAAAAGGGTAAAACGCATGCCTGTAAACCTTGACGATTCAGCTGTTTGACAGCAACATTCATCTTCGACGGGCGACCGTTGGGTTCTCTGCCGGCGGAGACATCGACGACGCCTCTGTAGACGCAACCGAACCCTCCCTCGCCAATCATGAGGGCTCTGCTGAAGCCTCTGGTGGCCGATTTGATCTCCGAGAAAGTGAAGACCCTCAGATCGTTCGTGGCCGAGACTCCGCCGCACCACCGTTGACTCAGAAGCCGGGGAAACCCTAACCTGTCGGGGGAGAAGCTCCAGTCCGAGTCGAACTCGGAGCGGCGCGTGGGGTCCGACGCGCTTGACGCCACGCTCAGGGACCGAGCCCACGAGAACCTCGAGGCCCTGGAAACAACGACTTCCTCGTCGTCTCCTTCGTCTTCTCCGCTTCCTCTCTTCTCGCCATTGCTGAAGTGAAAGCACTTCATCTTCCAAATCCCACACCGAGAAAATTTTGGAGCGTTCTTCTCTGTCGGATGATTTTCTTCAAAGTGGAGATGATCATGGGAAAATAATTCGATGTGACGCACTAACTTGTACCCAGATGACGTGGAGGTCAGTAAAGGATTATGAGCCGTTGATTTCAAAAACCTAACAGGTTGACCCGATCTAACGCAGAAGCAAGTTTTGATTTAGTAAAATAATAATTAATGTGATCAAAAGAAATATGATAACTATTTATCAATAATACTATTTAAATCGCCTGGATAGTTGATTTTTTAATTTTCGTCACCTATTTTCTATGAGCTTACAAATTTTGACATTTCTTATCGTTCACAATCTCAGAAAAGGTCTCCCACGTTTGGCGATTATGTATAATAGATTGCGACTCGTGCCAATGAACAATAATTTATGCACTAATTTTTGTTAAACAATTTATCACTAACAAATATTTTTTTCAAAAAATATAAAGAAAGATGAATATAGAATGAAATTTAAAAAATATAGACAGATGAGTAGTTTACATAAATGAAACAATAATGCAAGACATAGCGTTCCTAGACATATTCATAAACATAAATGAAATTTATTATTAGTAAACTATATAACAACAACAGCAACAATAATAATATTATTATTAAATGCATAAATACATGAATTATCAATTCAGATTAATACATCAATCAATTCTTTAATTCCTCCCAATTTTATACACGAACCCTCGCGGCGTTATTTCACCGTTAACTTCATCCTTCGTGGACTCCTAGTCATTGACATGTCATTGCCATGTGTTTATATTTTTGCCACATCAGAAAAGTGCCATATCACCCGGTCAAAAAATTCAACCCCAAAACCAAGTTAATAATTAAAATCTGAGCCGGTTAGTGTTAAACCAAAATATGGGGATAGTAAATGTAAACAAGGTTGAAATTGGACTCACCATCATACTATCCGAAATAGGGTATTTAATACACATACAAACGGTGAAAAACAAAAGAATTGGTTATAAAATATTTCTACCGGCAGATTTCAATCGATTCCGACGGATTTCAGTCGCTTTCTCCAGATAAAGCTTATTCGATTTTCTAGCTCAATCGATATTAGGTTTTTTGGGTTTGAAAATTTTTCAGTTGATCCTTTCGTCGGAAAACACTTATATTTAGGTCTCCTTCTCCTTCTCGTTGTATTTGAAAATGCACTTCTACTCTCCAATAGGTAACTTATTTGAAAATGTATTTGAAAATTGCATTGAAACAAGTCTGAATCCGCACCAAACAATTCTAACACAATCCTGATAGTCACGGCCATGTCCGAAAATTTTCGATCATGGCAATTCTAAATATATGTATTAGGGATTGACGAGACTTAAAATATGAAAAATACGTGTTTTCGTGGATTTTAATCACAGTATTGGTTACCTATTTGGATTTTGTTAGATTAAGCTTATGATTGTGGTAGGGAGTTGAGGCAGTCAACAGACTTGCTTAAACAAGGGTTGGGTTCATGTACGAGGCAGTCAATAACGACGTGGCAATGACTAGGACTCCACGTAGGATGAAATTGACGGTGAAATAACGCCGTGAGGGTTCATGTATGAAATTGGGAGAAATTAATGTATTAATCTGATAATTCATGTATTTATGTGGCACATTTTGTAAAATTAGTGTATTTTTATGGGAATTAATGACAGTAATAATAAATACTGGTTGTCGTTATGTTGTGGTCATTAACTCACACACATACAATTATTTTTTTCTTCCTAGCGAATATGTTATAAAAAAGTGAATAAATGGTATTTATTTTCAAAATTTTATTAATAATATGTATATGTATATTGTATATTATAATATTTTGAAAAATATATAACATTTCATTTTTTTAAATGTATTTAAAACTTTTATATGGAGGGGAGGTGGCAAATGTATTTGTAACAAAAGAGCCAAACCCTAATTTGGAAGGCAAATAAGGGTTTTTATTTATTTATTATCCTTGAGACTTTTGGACCTCGATCCAGAACATTTGAGGCATGATATATGATTTGAATAACCAAATGGCAGAATTAATAAAGTATTGATAAAATTAAAATATGGTATCACTAATCCGTGGTTAGAATGGTGAATCAGTTAATATAATACGAATTTACAGGAAATTTTATCATTAATTGAAAACATTAAAATATATAAACAACTAATTAATTTGTAATGTGCAATTTATAATGCTCGATTTCACTATCAGACTCTCCATTATCTTAGAATGGGACGAGAAGCAGAGGATCATGACCACCGATACGACATACCAAAAATACACGATACGACATACTACTATACGCAACGGTACGCGGCGACTGAACCAATTGCAGAGCCCCGTCTCTGAAACCTGATCACTCCATCACTATACGCGCAAAATTCCCCCAAATTCTAGGGTTTTCGGTAAAGCTGGAGCCCTGGTCTCCTTCCCCGTTCACTGTGATCGTCCCTGCAAGCAGGAATCAGTGTGAATCTTCGGTAACGAGCGGTGTCGTGTGATCGGCGCGAGTTGAGGTATTCATCTCTGTTTCTCTGCTTCTCTTTGTGTTTTTTTTTCTTTTTTGGGTCCGATGTAGGTTGATTTCGGTCGGATTTTTCGTCGCCGGTTCAAGTTTGTTTTCGTGAACTAAGTGTCTTTCTGTTTTTGATTTTTTCCTCCATTTGGGTTTTGAGACTTGCGCAGATTAAGGTTTAGACTATGACGCTGGGTCGGATTAAGTTTTTGGGGTGAAAGGGTTTAGGGTACAGTGTCATGACTGTTTGATTTCCGGGAAAATGTGATGAGATGAGTGTTCCGCATGCCAATTATTTTAAGCTGCTCAAATGGGTCTGAATCAAAGTGATACACGAGGGATTTGAGTTCCTTAAGGCTGTAACTTAGCAACTAGTTACTGGATGGCATCTAGATAGAATTATACTGTGTTTTTTGTTCTTTGGGTTGGAATTATCAAAACTGTTGGAAGAAGAAAGTAGTTTATTCTTTGGACAAGTCGAGACTACTGAAGCTGATTCAATTGGTTGAGCTTCTAATATTGGTGTTGAAATTGAATATATCTGTCTTTGGAGGCATGGTTTTTCAATAATGGGTATACAACGCTGAAGAGATCATGTTTTTGTAACATCACCAGTGATCTGTGTTGTTCCTATGTTTAGAAACCGAGGTACTGAATCAGAGCTTAATTATGTATCACCTCTTTTGTTTCAGGTTTTAGACAATGTTTTCTGGGAGTGAGGTCAAGGATTATGAGCATAGGTACTACTGTGACTTGAGAGAGGGCACCCTGAAGGTCAGAGTATCAGATTCATTGTATAGATGCCCATTCTGCGACAGATTTAAAAAACGTGATTATCGATTTAAGGACTTATTGGAGCATGCTTCTGCTAGAGGTAGCTCACGCAGTTCGGGTTTGCGAGAAAAAGCCAGCCACCTGGCCCTGGAACGATATATGAAAAGGCATCTTCTCCATCCCGAAGAATCAAATCCTGCTGCAAAAACTGACTTCAATTCTCGTACTAAAGAAGATTCGAATAATGCACAGAAAGGCAGTTCAATCAGTCGTGCTATAGGAGAACTGAAAGAGGGTCACAAACCTAGTTCCCTGCTTAGTAGTAAGAATGGTTCAAGGCCTGGTCAGAGAAGTGATCATCAACAAGGTGACGAAGAAAGGAAATCATCCCATGAACCGAATTCCCATTCTATCACTAAAGACATGGCGTACTCTGCCCACAGAACTAGCTTTGCTAGTCCTGCTG